TGGACTTTTCCACGATATTCTAATTTATTGAGATGCACCTGTATCTATTGCATAAATATCAGAGAATGGTAGAGTGGTTGTCTATGGGAAGACCCTAACCTGAAGAAAATGTAATCAGAGTCCACACAAGCATGCAGAATTAATATCCTGGTTTCAGTTGAGAAGTTTCTTGGTTTTATGATGTTTCAGTGCCCTGACAAAAAATAATTCTGGAGTGTATTTTTGACCTTTTCCCATATCAAACTGCCTGAGAGGAGGATCTTTTTTTTAACCATAAAACCAAAATCCTATCAATAGCAATGTATAAAACTTGCCAGTACCTGAAAAGGCATTAATGGAAATGAATTACTAGTAGACAAAAAGTTCTCATGGAATTCTGGCTCTACCTTTACCTGTGCGTTCACATCAACCTGCCCTGTCTCCAGAAGCATGGTGACGATTTCTAGGTTGCCCAGCTTGGCTGCATGATGGAGGCCAGTATATCCATCCTCTTCCTGATGAACAACGACATATACAAAGACCAAAATTCTTATCAAACAAACCCCTTTAATGTAAATATTTCTGTTATATTATGTCAGACACAAACAGACACTCACAGCATGATAGACACAGGCACCGTTCTGGACCAGGTAGCGAGTCACCTCAAGGTGATTATTGACTATCGCTTCCAACAGAGGAGTCCTCATGTCTTTGTCCTGGGCATCCACTTGAGCACCTGCCTGTCAGTATCAAATACCGTCTTTATACATTATACACTCCAATATTTCTACTATACTATATATTTCTGACTCTACTATATATTTCTGACTATACTATACTCTCTATACTTGTATCTCTTGCTCTTCAATTGCTTGTTTATGTTGTAAATGGCAAATGGACTGTATTTATATAGCACATTTTTCCCCAGTGTGTTGCACTGGCCAAAGCACTTTACAGGAGATGATACACCATTCACACACCAATGACGACACCATTCACCCATTCACACACCGATGACGACACCATTCACACACCAATGATGACAGGCTGCCACACAACAAGCCACCGGGAGCAATTCAAGGTTCAGTGTCTTGCTCAGGGACACTTAAGCATGCGGGGAGACCAAGAGTCGAACCACCAACTTGCTGGTCAGGAGACGAGTGCCCTACCTCGTGAGCCACAGCCAATGTTGATCTATAATATATTAAATCATTTCTATCACTTCCTGAACAAAAGCACCAAACCAATTACTGTCAATAGCTTCTTTGCTATATAACAGAAAGCTGAATATGTTTGAGTTTTGGACTGTTGGTCAAACAAAATGAGACACTTTAGGACCTCACCTTGGATTGTGAGAAAGTCACTCTGAAACTAATGCTCCATTCATACTACAGGCTGAAGCAAATCAGATTTTTTTCCCTTCCAAGTGACTCGAATTTGTTCTTTTTATGGATGTGTGAGCAAACCAAATCTGATTTTTTCAGATCAGATCTGAGCCACTTGCATATGTGGTCCTAGATCTTATTCGTATCTGATCTCTGTGACTGCCATCAGAACAGTGAAATCAGAATTCATGTAGTTTTTTTCCAGTATCTTAATCCTCTATGAACGTGCATATCGCCTATCGCCATCATTCAGTATCAGCCTTTCACAGACCAATAAACATAAACACAGAGGAGAGCAACAACAGTGATGGGGATCATTGGACAGACCATAACGTTTCACATTTGTTGGATATTTATTCAGAAGCTTCTGATCACACCCAACTGGAAGGAACATGTCATAACTGAGCAGTTTTTGAGGAAAATGTGCAAACTGATTGTCGGACAAATGACGTCATTGTTGTTATTATTGGTCACATGTGGTTCACATTTAGTTAAATCTGCACGTGTGTGGCAGTTTAGGAGCACAGCGATGATCAGATCGGAGCTGGATACTTACAAACGTGAATGTGAACCATGAACAGAAAAAGATTGGATCTGACGAAAAGATTGGGATTGAGCATTAAGGCCCGTAATGTGAACATGCTGTAAGCGATAACACAAAACAATGAGTACTGATAAATGATAACAATGAAAATAAGTGTTTATAAAAATGATCATCTAAACTGATCATGAGAAGTAAAACAAGACAGATCCTACTAATGTACCGGGTTTCTCACCTGTACCAACATATAGCAGATTTCCAGCAGACCTCTCTGAGCTGCAGCATGCAGAGCAGAGCGCCTATTCTGAGAGTCAGGCTGGTATGTTGGATCGATGCCCTCCACTAGAATAGATACACACAAATACATAGTTTTTGAATATAATTCTGTACAGTAATTTACCATGACCTTGTCTTGGGCTCAACAGTTTTCTACAGACGGTTAACATGTCTCACAAAAATATTCAGTGATCAAACCCCGACAGTGACGGCAGCATGAATTCCATCATGAGGCATTTGCATATAAAAAGTGCAGTTCAAAGCCACTCACTCAGCATGACCAGAACTTTCTGCACCTCTCCTTGCTTGGCAGCAGGGTAAAGCTGGCGAGGGTGGAACCTCAGTTTTTTCCTCCTGGCAAAAACAACAACATTTCCAATGTGGCTTGAAATAGTCTGAGCTCATCTGTTTGACTAAAACATATGTAATTTCAGTTGGAGGAGTTAAAACAAACAAAACAAATGTTCTGTATTAGTTTCTTCCAACATGCAATTTTGCTGTGGCTGCAGATGAATTTTGTGTTCTAATAACTGCTGGTGGAGATGCTTGCATTAGGATTTTAGTTTATTTTAGTTTATTTCTTTTATAAATTAAGCTCCTGCAGATCATATATTTTTAAATACAGAACATTTTGTGACTGTTAGTACAAAAACATGTCAAATGTATTTCAACACTATATTGCAACACATATAATTTTAGGAAAAAGAGGCACTGCACTGAAAGCTCAGTTTTTAACTAACCATTACATAAAAAGACAATTATTAAGAAATATATTTATTATACTGTGCAGTCTTTTAACCTGCTGGGACTGAAAGTAGAAGTAACATCTAAATGCAAACTCATACCTCTCAGTGTCCTGTGTGAGGATGGCTTTTTGCAGCGCTGCCCTGCTGGGTCCAGGTGGAAGCACACTGGGGCTGATGGGTTTCCCATTAGGCATGCAGAGAGAGGGCCCCACGCTGTCCACTCCCTCCTCAGCTGGGGGGACAGTGGCCACAGTCGTAGCTGAAGCTACAGGCTGCGGGGGCTGCTGCTGCTGCTGCTCTACTGCCAGCGTTACCAAACCATGACTACGCATACGGGCACTGAAGAAGCAGTGAACGAGGGCATGAGTAACAGAGTACAGTTTAACGAAGTCAAACCAGCCAAGGATTCTTTCTTACCTGACAGGCCTTTCAGGCATCTTCCCATCCTTCATTCCCCCCGTGGAAGCTGTGAGGGAGGGTCCTGTGGGGACAGATGGTGGCAGAGAAGGAGTGGTGGTGGAGGAGGCAGACATGGTGACGACGGTGGTTGCGGAGGCTGTAGCTGAGCTGAAGGAGGGGATGGTGACCTCCTGGGCCTCTGAGGCATCTTCACCACAGTGGGGACAGAAAAGCATACCACCACCATTGGCTCTGCTGCGCCCCCCACCCAGCACTGTCACACAACCCCGATGGAAACGGTGAGCGATGCGCTGGTCTGGGCAGCACTCAAGAAATGTACCCTGAAAGAGGAATTTGGATATAGTGAAATCGAAAAAAAAAAGGATATAAAGGAGTGGAAAGAAAAGACGAAAATCAAATACTGAAAAGAAGAAAGAGGAGAAAAAGGTAGGATATCAAGAAGAAATCAAAGAAAGTTGGACTACTGAGGAAGAAAACAAGGGTCCACAGCATTAACATTAAATAACATTTTATTTTTCTGATTCACTGCTCTGTTTTGCTTGCGCTGCTCCCTCTCCTCATTCACATACTAACACTCTCGACCACCACGGCTCGCTGCCTCTCTTGGCGGAGTAGATTTAGAACACAATCAATGAAATTAAGGCACAAAGATACCTAGAATTACCACTTTGTGGCTGTATGCCTCCGCCAACCAGTCAAATTCACAGGAACAGGACAGACATGACCACCAAAGTCTAATTAGTTCATCATTCAGTCCAAGTGGACATTTACGCCAAATTTGAAGAAATTCCCTCAAGGTGTTCCTGAGATATCATGTTCACAAGAATGGGATGGATGTACAAACGGACCACTCTAAAACATTATGCCTCTGGCCGTGAAGGCATAAAAAGAACAACTGCTAGGTACGACTTGGATCTCTTCATTCCTACCAACAAGCTGTTGAATAGAACATAAATAGAATATGAACAGGCCTGTGCTGTATTTGTATTGAGTGTCCAGTGTTAGCCGCCAGGTTGAAAGGGTTTTTTTGTCCTCCAGGGCTCTGTGCCAGTCATGTGACTGAAAACAATGAACTGGCCTTATTTCACAATGGTGACGAAACCTAATATCATTACCTCCACCTCGGCAGAGATAATAATGACAAGCAGGTGGTTTAAACCCTTACCGCTATGCAGAAGTATCCACAGCCAGGGCAACAGTGGTGTTTGACCATGTGTGAGCGATGGACGTCGCAAAGTACCATGAGGGGCACCCGACTGGATGGCCGCATGGTTTCTCCTTTAATCGTCTGATTGGTACAAGCCCTCAGCTGACAGAACAGGAAAAAATATTACACAATTAGAGACCGAGCTTAAAGGAACCTCTGACTAAATAAGCAAACAGTGCATCATACTTGTTTCTGGCTATCCAGATCTACACACAGAGCAAACATAAACTTGTAAGTACAAGGTATGCTAATACTCCAAGTAGTGGGGAAAAAAAGTTTGAGAACTGTGCTTGTGTGTGAGGGTTTTACAAAGCACATCAAAATGATCTGAGCCTACTTTAGATCAGCAAATTGAACACAAAAACCCAAAAGGCAGAGACAGACCTCTCCATTGATGCTCTCAGTGGCCATGCACTGCCTGCTGACACGGTGGCTGGTGCTGGCCACACGAGGAGCCTCCATCCCACCGCCAACCCCCCCCAGCCGCTCCGTGTCACCTGCGTCACTGCCTTCTGCAGAAAGGAACATTTGATAGCATATTAAATTAGTTTCTGGTCATAAGACAGTTGTCCCTTTAACACTGAAAAAGAAAAACAAAAAGCTTTTATTCAGCACCAACAAACCTCAATACATGTATTATTTTTAGCTGAGCTGAAATGGTTAGCTGATTAATCAAACAACATAAAAATTATCTGAAACTTGCTTTGATAATTGATTTGTTTCAGTATTTTTTATGCAAAACGCAAAATTTATTTTACTTGTGCTTTTACGCTACCTCTAAAATTTTAAAGATGTTATAGTATCAAAACCTGCTTCTCATACTCTTACAGTGCAAGCACAAAATGACAATTATAATTTCCCAGAGTCCAAAATTTACTTTTTGGAAAAACCAAAATGCAAAAGTATTAAGTTCACTATTATACATCAGAATGAAAAGCAGCAGCTATTTCAATTTGAGAAGAAAATAAGAAGTTTTGACATTTTTTTTCCCTTGAAAATGAACTGAAGGATAAGTCAGTTATATAGTTGTAGGATAGTTTCCTGGAGATCGAGTAATCAATCTAGGTCTCAATGACACAAAATCAGCCCAGCAGTGCTGTAGCAGTGATTACTACTGATTTACGTTTATATATAAAAAAAAAAAAACTCTCTCTCTAAAGGATAAAGGAAAAAGATCAGGGAGGCCTGAGATTTTCAACCAAGTCAAATTACATTTATCTATCATAAAGCCTACCATGATGAGGAGAAAGTGTCAGACTGTCAGCAGCAGCGATGTCCAGAGCATCCAAGGGAACCTCTGTATACTCTGCTGGCTTTCCTGCCAAATGACAATGAATAAGCCTTGAGAAAAACATAATGGAAAATGATGCACTTTAATAAGATATAAATGCTTATAGCAATAAAAAGCAACTCATTCTTCTTATCTGTTTATATGTTTTACAACACTAAATCAAAAAATATTTCGTCTTTTTGTCACTGATCATTAGGAAAATGCCACTCTCAGAATCTGTGTGTAGTAGAAATACCTTTGGCAGCAGTCAAATGTTTGGGGACAGAGCTGTACCAGCTTTTCACTGCACTTTATCCCCCCTTTCTTCCCTACAAGAGTGCTGTGTCTGCTTGCATGGGCACTGTGAGAAAACAATAATTTTGCTGTACTTCTGCAAATTCTCAATTCTCCTTGGAGTAGCAGTTTCCCTTGTGACCGCTTTTTGGGTGTTTTTTTTTTTCCCAGTAAATTGGCAAAACAGTTGCAGGAGTTTCCAGACAGACGAGACCTAGGTTTTAATCCTTAATCACCTCAATTAGAAACATGTGATATCCTATCAGCTTTAACTGGCTGTCAGTGATGATTTAAATGAGTTCCACATTGTTCTTAATTTAGATAAATGTTGATGAAAACTACATCGAACAGGATTTAATGTTATCTGAAACAAGCATGGTTTTGGAAAACCTAATGGCTAAAATCATTTACCTCCCAGTGTCTCCACCACATCAGCAGAGTTTCTCTCGTCATGGTCTGACTGCAGCCATGGAGACTCCTCGCCCTGATTTCTACTTTGGACAGCTCTCTGTGTTTCAGACTCTGAACTCTGCAAGAAAGACAGTCTGTCTGATTATACATATGTGATGAGCAAAAGATAGAAAATAGGGTGAATAGTCTGGGTGGTTTGTTTTTTTTGTACTTATTTAAATACAATACACATTTGTTCCATTGCCTTCACACTGCAGGTAGTGGTAACGCACCAAGAAACACAGCAATATACCAACACAAAGTAATATATTCCTAATATAAAATAGCCTGCAACTTACAATAGTTGATTTTTTTGGGCCACTTGGTGATGGCAGAAAAAAGAAGTCAACACATCACCACACTGTAAGCACTACACTCATCTTCCAAGTATGTAAACATAAGCCAGCTCCCGGCTTTTGATTACTGATTTGAGCTAAAGAGGATGTAGGAAACTGGAGCACTGACCCATACGTGATCATTAACAATTCAAATATTTGTTGCTACTTTTGTGTCCTTATAAAATATGTCTGTTGGCCAGCAGCTGTGAAAATCCAGTCTACAGCTCATAAATGTATGTTATTTTGGAAATTAATTGTGCTGCACCACATATATGATGGACAAAACTATCCAGAATGATGGTGACATGATTTGACAATTCTTGACATTCCTGAAAAGTTCAGTTAAGTATTTGGGATGTTAAAGCTGTTAAATAAATGCCACCACATTGCTCAGTAAGAACTACTGAAAATTCACCAGATTTTCAGTCACCACCAGTTACAGTAAACAGTGTATGAATTGAAATGAAAAGAAAATACTATAGTTATATCTAGATATGAAAGTAATTATCGAGCCAGTGAGATCAAATCACTCACATGATCGGATGTGTTCACTGACCCCTCGATGTCTTTAATGTGCTCCCCTGCTTCTCCCACACCATTTTCAAACTATAAAGGAAACACCAAAAATACATATTTAACAGCACAGAATTATCTTTTTTCATTATTAATAATTGAAAACAAACATGCTATAGCATTATGCCAAATAACATGCAATTGTAGACAATGTTTTATGGCACAATATGTAAATCTAAACCTCATACATTCTCTGAATCTTCCTGGCACTGGCTGTTAATCTCTATTTTCTCGGCTGCATCCTCTGACTTCCCCACACTGCTGTTGCTCTTCTCTGTTGTAGCCTTGGTCACGTGCTCCAACTTTTTATGGAATATTGGTTCTTCCTGGGTTTTAAAAGAAATCAGAAAACTAAAACCTTCCTAATCTAATTACATGTAATTTGATTTGTGTAGTGTAAATTATATACCTAAAAACATCATCTTACCACTGTCTGAGCGTTGTCTGGAATGTTCTCAGACCTCTCAGCTGTGTTGTCAGATGAATGATCCAGTTTTCTCCTTTTTGCAGCTGTTGGAAACGTCACAATGCAACAAAAAACTTAAGAGTGAATTTTCACTTCAAAAAGGCACTCTAACCCATTTTTATTCACAGCAACTTTATTCTTTTACACAGGTAAACATCATTGGTCTGAGTATTCTAAAGCAACTAACCAGTTTCAGAGTCAGGGGAAAGGAAGGCAGAGGATGCTGAAGCAGTCACACGTGGAACAGGCGCCTCAACGTGACTTGTCTGTGGAACAAAAATGTTTACTCAATCAAATGAGCATGAAAAAGCTGCAACACTGCTATACTCGGTCACAGTTTATCAGTGGCTGGAAGGTTTCTCTGAATGTGAACATCGCTCACAGCAGACTTTCAATAGTGTTACTTGGTTCAAGAATAAAAAGAATAGGGGCCATGCAATTACAGATGCTAAATACTGGAACAAATCAAGACAGAGGTGCACATTTGATGTTGCTCAAACCAAATGGAATGCTAACCACTTGCTGTAGATAATATATCTTCACCTGCCATGGTGGGGGCCTATTCATGGTCTTACGGGCCCGGTGGATCTTGGGTGGGTCAGGAAAGACAGAAGGAGATGAGGAAGCTGTGGCTGAGGATGAAGACGAGGAAGAACCACCAGGCGGGAGAATGGCTTTATTGCTGCCTGGCCCAGAAACGCTCATCTTTGCCCGGCCAGGGGACACCATTGAAGACGCAGAAGGAGAGGACAACAATGAAGAGGAAGATGTTGATGGAAGGGACTTTGCTGCCTGTCCTGTAAGAGGGAGGTATAAAGCAGTGACTGAATTGCTTGAACCATCCTTTGCTTCCTAATAATTTGTGCCACATTATTTCTGGCACTATCAAAGTTGTTGCGTTGAGAAGGATCAAGTAATATTTTTATCCACTGGAAATCTTCACTTGCCTGGTTAATAAGTTTTACTTTTTTGAAATACAGATTTGTTTTAGATTTTTTGTTTCATATTGCTATGTTAATGCTGAGTAAAATGTGGGACAAACAGAGAACCACTTTTTTAACAACACTGGTGAAAGCTAACTTGTACCAAGGCTTACCTGCAGCAGGTCTGCTTGGGGAAGAGGCAGGGGACAATTTCTCTCCCTCCTCTTCGACTCCAGAAGCATCCTTACGAGGCTGCCGTGATGACAACACTGATGGCATACCACCCATGGGCTCTGACTTCTTGGCAACAACAGCTGTACTGGAGGCTGCATTATCTGAGAAACATTCAGGGTTATCCATAAGTTTCTGTACCGACAAAAAAACCCAAGGAGCATAAATGAGATATAGACTTGCCATCTTTAACTGGACTTGGTCCAGCTAATGGCTCTGGTGGTGTTTGTGAATCATTTCCTTCAGCAGTCTCCTGACAGAGAAACAACACATAGAAGTAAAATATGTATCCATGCCATGGAATATAATTAATAAGTAGATTTTAAGCATATTTTACAATCTATTAGAGACCCCAAAACAGAAACACAGAACACTGGTGAATCACTGTTGTTTTTCCAGTGTAAAGAAGCACAAATGATAACATTCTCATGATGCTGGCAACTGTGTAGAAAGGTAATGGAGTAACTTGCTTAATCTAAATGATATTATCCAGTCACCAGAAACACACACCAATGACATTTGTCTCAAATAAAGTGTTTATACCTACTAAAATGTGTTTAGTTCATCTATGCGACCAATTTACCATCTACTCTCAACAAAAAATCTCTAACCAATGACTGATCTTCTTTTTTGTTACGTCAAGTACCGCCAACTCATTCATTTCAAGCAAGATACATCAGCCAACAATAGTATAAGAAATAAAAAGGCATTTAACGCTAAATTTCACACAGTGATAGTTTTAAAGACTGGCTCTTAGCTGGGATTAACACATTATTACCACAGCGTATAGAAAGGTCGGTTTGTCTCAACATATGGTTTGAAGCCTACACTGAGAGAATAATACAAAAACACAATGATAAAAGCGAGGTAAGATGATAGATTTGCTGGGGATGTGAACGGCCAAGGAATCTTTAAAATAAGCAAAATACTAACAGCATTAGAGCTAATCCTTCAGTTAATATAGAACTGTTACATCAAGCTAACGCTGCTAGCAATGTAGCACATCTTCCAACAAAGAGCTCTTTATAATCGAAAACGAAAGATATTTTGTGATGTGGAATACTGCAGCGTTGACATTGTTTCGATATGTAGGCTAATATGTTCACAGGCGAATATATAGCTGTAAATTTCGGTAACGTGTTGTGTTATAGTGGATTTGCTACCTTTGTTGTTTCCTCAGACGTCGACATGTTTCCCAAAGAGCGTAAACGTTTATGAACGTACTTACGTCACCCACGAGCCCCGCCCTCGTTGTCTATTGATTTGAAAACCGCTGATCAGAAGTCAGCGGGCGTACTCTTATTTTTCGACTAACAGCCACACGAAAACCGATTCAAAGTCAGTTTAGTGGTGAAGATCTAGTAATTTGTATTTGTTGTCACGGGATGAGCGTTCCACCAAAACAAGCGTTCCACCAAAACAGGCCAAAAAGTAAATAGAAATCGAGGAAGTAGCTAGATGTAGTAGGGATGAGCAGATATTCGCTGTCGTCTAAAGCCATCTTAGTTTTCTTTTGCCCGTTGAATCAAACTCATATTTTAGAAAGCCCTGAAGACATTCAATGAAAGAAAAAGGTAAGCTAGCTAAGTCACAGTAAAGTTTTAGCGAGAGCTTTTGCTTGTTGGTGGTGATGGTTACTAGCAAATGACAGCAAGCTAACAAGTAGCTAACGTTAGCTAACGTACAGACAAGTGGGTTAGCTAGCGTTAGGCCAAAAGAAAGGAGGGAGGGTATTGTGTTATGATCGATTTCGATTCGATTTAGTCATTAATATTTCAGTATTAATAAGTATTGCTTTTCTCATAAGCCATATCAATTGCTGATATTGTGCATGCTGGGTCCATGCTGTCAGAAAGATAACGTTAATATTATATAGCGTAAATAGCAAATCACCAGTATATATAACGTTACATTTTAATCACCTCGTTATCATTATTGAGACATCGAGTAAGTTAGCTTGTGATTTTTGGTTAATTTACTTAGGTTAGTCATATGTCAGAATTGGTCATGTATTTTGCCGAACAAGTGTAGGATGCTCTCGCAGGGCTGCAACAAACATTTTTTATTAGACAGACACTTATTTAGTTTTTTGTCTAGAAAGTCAGAAAAAGGTGAGAATATCTTCAACTATGTGATCAACAGTGCAAAATCCAAAGATGTTCAGTATATTATTATATATGACAAGTACAGTAGAAGTCCTTACATTTGAGAAGGTGAAACTACTAAACCGTTTCTGATGCAGTTTCCAAAGTATTAATTGCCAAAGTTATTAACTGACAAATCAATTTACATCTGTGCTTCTACTTTTAAGAGGTTGATGTCAGTCCCAAAGTTATATATTTCCAACTGGCCTCTTCTGAAACTTTCTAAGAGACAAAACTGGGCGCAGTTGGTGCCTCTGTTTGATCTCATTACACTAATACACCCACACACTTGTTGCATGTTGAGGCCTGACTCTAGCTTTTGCAGTGGCCAAACTGGATTAGGTGTATAGCAGCTCTTCAATATTCACATTCTCACTATCAAATTATTAACACTAATACAAACAAATCTCCATTTCCTCAGACAAGATGGAGATGCTGTGCTTCCGTTTACCAGGCCATGGGGACACAACCCTAAAGCACATGAATTCGCTGAGGTCCCGCCAGCATTTCTGTGATATCACCATTGTGGCCAGCAACAACCAGACATTCAAGGGACATAAGGTGGTGCTGGCTGCCTGCTCACCTTTCCTGAGGGACCAGTTCCTCCTCAACCCGTCCCCCAAACTTCAGGTAGGTAGATGGCACCACACCACATACAGTGGTGTGAAAAAGTGTTTGCCCCCTTACTGATTTCTTATCTTTTTGCATGTTTGTCACACTGTAATGTTTCAGATCGTCAAACAAATTTATATATTAGTCAAAGATAACACAAGTAAACACATCATGCAGTTTTTAAATGAAGGTTTTTATTATTAAGGGAAAACAAAATCCAAAACTACAAAGCCCTGTGTGAATAAGTGTTTGCCCCCTAAACCTAATAACTGGTTGGGCCACCCTTAGCAGCAACAACTGCAATCAAGCGTTTTCGATAACTTGCCATGAGTCTTTTACAGCGCTGTGGAGGAATTTTGGCCCACTCATCTTTGCAGAATTGTTGTAAGTCAGCCACATTGGAGGGTTTTCGGGCATGAACTGCCTTTTTAAGGTCATGCCACAGCATCTCAATTGGATTCAGGTCAGGACTTTGACTAGGCCACTCCAAAGTCTTCATTTTGTTTTTCTTCAGCCATTCAGAAGTGGACTTGCTGGTGTGCTTTGGATCATTGTCCTGCTGCAGAACCCAAGTTCGCTTCAGCTTGAGGTCACAAACGGATGGCCGGACATTCTCCTTCAGGATATTTTGGTACACAGCAGAATTCATGGTTCCATTTATCACAGCAAGTCTTCCAGGGCCTGAAGCAGCAAAACAGCCCCAGACCATCCCATTACCACCACCATATTTTACTGTTGGTATGATGTTCTTTTTCTGAAATGCGGTGTTACTTTTACGCCACACATAATGGGACACACACCTTCCAAAAAGTTCAACTTTTGTCTCGTCTGTCCACAGAGTATTATCCCAAAAGTCTTGGGGATCATCAAGATGTTTTCTGGCAAAACTGAGACGAGCCTTTATGTTCTTTTTGCTCAGCAGTGGTTTTCGTCTTGGAACTCTGCCATGCAAACCATTTTTGCCCAGTCTCTTTCTTATGGTGGAGTCATGAACACTCACCTTAACTGAGGCAAGTGAGGCCTGCAGTTCTTTGGATGTTGTTGTGGGGTCTTTTGTGACCTCTTGGATGAGTTGTCGCTGTGCTCTTGGGGTAATTTTGGTCGGCCGGCCACTCCTGGGAAGGTTCTCCACTGTTCCATGTTTTCGCCATTTGTGGATAATGGCTCTCACTGTGGTTCGCTGCCGTCCCAAAGCTTTAGAAATGGCTTTATAACCTTTTCCGGACTGATAGAGCTCCATTATTCTCTTTCTCATTTGTTTTTGAATTTCTTTGGATCTCGGCATGATGTCTAGCTTTTGAGGATCTTTTGGTCTACTTCACTTTGTCAGGCAGGTCCTATTTAAGTGATTTCTTGATTGCGAACAGGTGTGGCAAGAGAAATTGAACTCAGGTGCGATAAACCAGTGTTTTGACAGGGGGGCAAACACTTGTTCACACAGGGCTCTATAGTTTTGGATTTTGTTTTCCCTTAATAATAAAAACCTTCATTTAAAAACTGCATGATGTGTTTACTTGTGTTATCTTTGACTAATATATAAATTTGTTTGACGATCTGAAACATTACAGTGTGACAAACATGCAAAAAGATAAGAAATCAGTAAGGGGGCAAACACTTTTTCACACCACTGTACACAGGGCTGGCATCCTGTCCCTTTTAATGCGCTCATGACAAGTAAAAATAGTGCCTGCCCATGTCTTTGTTTCACATTTTCACTCAGGTGTCGATGCTGTACAGCTCCACGGTAGTGTGTGATCTGCTTCAGTCCTGTTACACTGGTGTGCTGCAGTTTAATCCTGAGGAGATCGTCAACTACCTCACCGCAGCTAGCTACCTGCAGATGGAGCACATAGTGGAGCGCTGCCGAGGAGCTCTGAAGAAGTATATGCAGCTAAAGAACCCAAGTGCACCAAAGGTCAGCAAAGAAATAAATAGTGATTATATTGTTTCTTAATTTATAGAGCCAGTCTGAAAACTATAAAATGACAGTCCAATGTAATGTCTTTAATTTTTCTTGTATCATTTGTTCTTCTAGATGACTGCAGAGGCGAGTCAGCCGCGACCAGTGATCGTCACTGGCAGCATTCATTCTGTTGCATCTCCTCCCACTAGCCACGCATCTCCTCTGCACCCACACAATCCTGTGCGCTCACTGGATGAGAACAGCGGTGATATGTCTGTTCAGGGCAGCGGTCAAAATCACAATGACAGACCCATGGTGGATGAGCCATGTATTAAGGTTTGTGTGTGAAAAAACAAAAACAGAAACTAGACTTTTTGAACCTGCAGCATTTATGATATACAGTATGTGGATTAGTTAGTATTTTTGTTTATGACATTGTAAATTAAATATATGTGAATTTTAAACTGTTGGCTAAATAGAACAAGTAATTTGAAGATGCTAGTATCTGGGTATCCTGATGGCCATTTACACAGTTTCTTTCTTTCTTTATTTTATTTTATTTATTATTTTTTTTATATTTTCAAGACTAAAGTTTTTATTTGCACCCCTGGACATGATATATAGTCTTCAATCCTGTTACAGATTACTGCATCAGACGAGGAGGAAGAGGCCAGGCAGGAGGAATACGATGTGTTCAGAGTGTACATCTCTGAGGAAGAGCAGATGAACAGATACAGGGAGGAGGAGAGGGGGGCTCCCTCTGATGAACCTCAAGATGGTTGTTACCCAGAGACTGAAGATATCGTGATAACAGGAGGTGGCAGTGAGTATGACTTGAATGAAACAGCAGAAGAAGATCTCAGTGCTGGAGGACTTGCATTGCAGGAACTCCGGACTTTCAAACGCAGGCTGTCTGACCCTACATTTGCCCGGGGAAGAGGGAGAGGCAGGGGGAGGGGTTTCAAAAGGAGAAGGTGGATGTCATCTCACGAGAAAAAAACATCAGACATGGCTCACCAGAAGGATTTGTGGTACATGGCACCTACTGGATTAGGAGGGAGCATTGGGCTAGACTATAGCCAAGAAGGGCTTAAGACAGGAAGCTATGTCTCAGTTGAACTCCCTCAGTTAGACTTCAGTATGGCCAGCGCTCAGGGAGAAAAGATTTCCCCAATGACTGCCAACAGTTTGAACCAGTATTCCCTAGAGGATTCTAGTGGTGCTGCTGGTGAGGGGAGTTCAAGGTTGACGACTGTTGGTGCAAATGAGGGAGGGGATGAGTCTGTTGCGGTGGTGGGGTCAACCTCAAGTGTAGCTGGGCCTGTAATCTGTGAGCATTGTGGCATGACATTCCCCTCAGCACACTCCCTTGCACTCCACTCCCGCTCCACTCACCTGCTGTATGCCTGCCCGTGCTGTGGCAAACACTTCCACCACTCTGCCAACCTCACCCGCCACATGGCTGGGCAACATGGCTGTGCACAGGGGGGCCGGGAAAACCCACCAGTGCCCCCTGTGCTATAAGGCATTTACCCAAAAATCCACGCTGATAGACCACATGAACCTCCACAGTGGCGAGCGCCCCCACCGCTGCGCCTACTGCCATGCCCATTTTGCCCACAAGCCCGCCTTGAGACGCCACCTGAAGGAGCAGCATGGAAAAACCACAGGGCAGAACTCTCAACATGAGCAGGAGGAGATTGAGAGAGCGAGAGGAGCTGCTGGAAGAATACGAGAGGAAGAGCAAGAATGCCTGGTTACTGAACAAGTGTCATAGGCCAGAGCGTCAGTAATGTGTTTAAATGTCTGAAAATCCTCAGCCAAGCTGTCCACTGGTCAATGAAAGGTTTGTGGAGTTTAAGCAAGTGCTGAAAACCGACTATGATGCCTTTGAAATCTGACTGACTTTCATATGAGCTGTTTTTTAAAATTTAAAACCAGCATATGTCCTATCTGCAGTGTTTGTGATTCACACTCAATAGTTGTAGGCTACTGGGAGAAGATGGTACTGCACTCCTTGTGTTATTTTGCTGCACTCCTTGTGTTATTTTGTTGATTTGCTGCAGCTGCAGGATAGCACATGTGGCATGTGCCAAATGAATGGAACCTATGCCCACTTGACACCATGCCAGTCGGCTTTTGGAGTGCACCCACTGAGACAAGAGGACTTTATCAGAGCAGACATTTGTCATGGTAGGAAAAGCACAGGTGTTACTAGTAACACTACTGATGGCTCTGTCATGACAGCATGGACCCAGCATGCACAATATCAGGACACAGAGACTGAAGTGGCATTAAATTAGCCAGTAATTGTATTTACACCTGTACGTTTTCAACTGTAACAAATCAGACTAGGTTCGTTCGAGATGAGCCAGGTCTGTCCTGAATGGCCATCATTGCCAGTTTAGAGCCTGTCTTGTGGATGTGAGCACAGTATCAAGGTGGCTGCAGTTTCAGTTGCTCTCTGCCAGCTGCAAACCCTCAGAGCATGATGGGAGATACCAGGGTCTAATCTGATCTAAGGGCTGACAGGTTTAGATGATGGGTCAACAGCATGAAGTTTCAGAGAAACTTGTCATTTATTGATTAACTGGAGGGATTTTGTTGTCAGGGTGGGAGTTGATTCTGTTAACAGAAGATTATAGATGATTCTCATAGATAATCTGAGTTAAAATCACCTTTATAGCATTTAGCATAGCATCCTGTCATACAGAAGAAAGTCATTCAAACAAAAGGAATCAATCTAATAGGATGTTTCTATGACTTTCTGTACAAATGTAACAATGTATGGACTATTAGCAATACAAAACCATATCTCTAGTTTAATGAGCAAAGCTGCCACACAGAACCACATACTGATCATGTGAAGTACAATGATCTAATGTTAAAAAGACAACAGAAAATTTGGTACATCTCCTGAAACAGGCAGTTCAAGCAGCTGGCTAACATTTAAAGAAAAACACGAAAAGCTCAATGTCAAAATACAAAAGCACAGTTTTTTCATTTGAGGAAGTCTTCACTGTACACAACCTGGTTCCTCTTGTCCCTGTAGGAGCCTTTAGTGCTGTTCTGCACAGCTGTGAATGAAAAGAGAGAGATGAAGGTTTATTTGCACTGTGCAAACGCATGGATCCATATATGAACAAACAATGGCCCTGTGTTTACCCAGTGACGCCCAGACAGATTTGCCAGTGGCAGCATCCAACATGGGCTGCTTCCTGGCGATGCTGACTTTGATGTGAACATCTCCCACTGTACTTCCATTCAACTGTAAGACAAAACCAGCAAGATGAGATTAGACTGCCAGCTTGTATACAGTCTACATGAGCAGGCCATCACCAGAACTACAGTCTTCTAGTCAATTACTTGAACACAAGAGGCCCTTTTGATCTTTTCAGGAATATAACTGTGATAAAAAAAAAAATTCCTGGGGACCTAAGTTCACAAATGTATAGTTTCTAATTAACCACCTTGTTATCTACATTAGCCTGATGATAAAGGGAAAATAAAACAAAATGTTTACCCTGACACACAGAACACAATTTCTACTTAATGTTTGACTGTTCTGAAATACATGTATCTTAAGTATATTTTGTAAAGAATCTTTGTGTGTTTGAAAATACAATATTATTTACAGAGGGAGAAGATCATATGTATTTATGTTTCGCCTTATTTTTAATAGTACCAACCTCGGCTACAGCCTGGTCTGCAGACTCCATCTTCTCAAATGTGATAAATGCACAACTGGAAGGAAACACAAATAAGAACTACATTACAGAATCGTAATGTAGATTGATCAGAACAGAAGACAGAAATGACCAGTATGCGCATGCAGCTTTGTGTAATGTTTCCATACTTGCGTGGGTTGTCCATGGAGAGGTCGATGATGTTTCCATGTTGAGAGAAAGCAGAGCGCAGGCTGTCCTCGACAAGCCCAGAGCCATAAACATACACCGTATTCCCCTTTCGCACCCCCCTTCGCTCCGGGTACGAGTCTGACCCTGAAAATAAAAATACAGAGAAAAATCATTAATGTGTCCCAACTTACCTTTTGACAACCACCCTACATCTGCATTATGCCCTGACTCTGCAATGCATTACTGTCAGCTGGCAGTAGTATTTGTACTACTGCCTTCCCTATGATGGATTTCTCCTAATTTTGCAATCTTGTATGACTTACGTCTAAAGGGTCCATCTCTGTCTCTGTCCCGGTCCCTCTCTCTGTCTCTGTCTCTGCTTCGGTCTCTCTCCCTGTCTCTTTCTCTGTCCCGTTCTCTGTCCCTGCCCCGGTCTCTATCTCTGTCCCGCTCCCTGTCCAGCTCTCGGTCGCGGTCGCGCTCTCTCTCTCTGTCTCTGTCTGTGTCTGTGTTGCGACTGGATGACATGCCACCTCCATCATCATCATCCCGGTATCGATCACTTGAACTGACAAAGCTGTGGAGACACACAGGGAAATTATGTTACACTCTCTCATACTTGCTGTCAAACAGGTCGTTTTGCTTATTCATTATGGCTTTCGGACATTACCTCTCATAAAGAGATTTCCTGTGGGCTCTCTTTCCAGACTAGAAGAAACACAAATATGATATCAGTATAAGCTGTATTTTATGTTGTCTGCTCAAGTGCAACATAAAGCACTACAACTTTTTTCCTCAGCCTTTGTTGTAATTTTCTGAAGGTCAAATGTGAAAAGGTGTCTTGTGCTGTAAATGTGTGTCATTCAAAATTTGAGAACCATATAATAAGAACCAGCCATCCAATGTAGACAACACACACACACACACTCCTAGGAGCAATTTAGAGTCGCCAATTAACCTAAGCCTCATGTCTTTGGACTGTGGGAGGAAGCTGTAGCAACCGGAGAGAACATAAGAACCATTTAAACATATTATAGGAGATGCCAATTGCATGAAAACAGTCATGTCTGCAGCCATATTTTACTGTACCTCGGGTTGTTCTTCATCTGTAGAAACACTCCTCTGGAATGGTAAGAAAGCAGGAATTGGGCCTTTCTCAGGGTCCTGTGGCAAATAAAGACCAAGAGTTATACAAATTAAGAAACAAAAGAAAATGAAAACAGTTGAACAACCAGCTGCAACACTGTCTAAGGGAGCAACATCCCACCTTGAGTTTGATTTCCAGCATTCGAGAGCGTTTAAAGCCTGAATTCTTGTTCTCAGATTTGATGGCACTGATCGCGCCCGACTTGATCAGCATCTTTGCTTGCTCTGTTGCCGTTGCAGTGTCAACAACAGGCTGGTCCGACAAAGCTGTGATGAAGGAAAGTGTAAAGCAAATAAAACTAGTCTGAGTGTTAAGGTAGACTAAGGATGTGTGATGAGCAATTAATTCAGTGCACACTGCTTTTGATGGGACAAAATGTGACTTCCAGAGGCCTGAATATTTCTACTCTAAATGGGCTCAGCTTGAGTGAATGCAAGTATACAAATACACAGTCATAAATATTTTTCCAGTTATTTGCTAGTATTTATGGTCAGAATGTTTAAGATCTGAGTTTCAGCAAGTGTAGCTGTATAAATCAGTGATTGTGTAAATTGATAGTTTAAATTATACACAGTGAAAGTACCGTCAGTGTGTAAACAAAAAGTGTATTGTAGTTAGCTGAGTAATGACAAATGCTTAAATACATATTTAACTGGATTCAAATGCACTTACTGCGTTTCAGGCCACTCTGATTCGTCTGGTTGGTTGAACTCTGCTTCTTCAAGGCAAGCAGCGCCTTTTTCTGAAAAAACAATTAAATATAAAAATCATTAAATAACGAAGTGAGTCTTATTTCACTGTGGTCCTCTGAGCTACATACACTATTCCTGGGGACTAAAATCAACACATGCCATTAAAGCTATGGCAATATGGTATTGTTAGACATTCAGGTCTTTATTTAAAATGCCTAAGTCTTACATTTCATAGACTACCACGACAGATGATATATCAGCAAGTTTCCAGTTACTTGCCTTTTTCTTTAGTTTAGCATATTTCTTTTGCAGGGCTTCCTCTTCCTCAGTCAGTGAACTTGGGAACACCACCATGCTGGCAACAGCTACAATACAAATAACTGCATTAATAGTTAGTAACAAAAACTGACTTAGTAATGTGAATATGCATTGATTAATTCGTTAAACCGTTCAACCCTGCTAGCCTATGTAAGCTAATTAGGGTCATAATACGACAGAATACAAATGTATCGCATTCAGAAAACGAAATGTAAAAGAAAATGCTGTCTGTTTGATGAGAACATCATATGTAACCTACTAAAACCACTTTAATAACAGTGGTTAGTTATAATCTTTTTAAATCACTTACCAATTCAAACGGTGGTGTACACTATTCAACAAAAACACCGACGCGTAAATATGACGTTGCAGCTGTCAGTTTAGCCCCGCTCCCCAAATAAAGAGTTAACGCTAGCAAAATATTTACACAAAACGCTAGCGAAATATTTACACAAAATGATATTCATGTGGAATATGGCTATTTATATATAGTAGACACGTTTACAGTTTCATGTTTTTCTGTTGGTGCCACTGAACTTCCGCTTTTCAACTGTGGCAACTTCCGATACGACAATAGCAGCAGATGATTAACAGTTAACTTTTAGCTCTCAGTTGGTAGAAGGGGATATGGAGAGACTAAGTAAGTTGTATCTTATTGAATGTCAAGTCAGTTTCATAAATATATATGTAATTGAAAGGCGCTTGGTCGTGCCAACGCTTCAGTATAGCTTGTGTGTCTATGATGTGGCTAACAGGGCAGCCAGCTTGCTGTCAATCAGTTCCTTCATTCAGCAGCCCCGTGGCATAAATTATAGATTTAAGTTGATATTTACCATTTAGCCAGTGACTCTAATCATGTCGACTCAGTTGTTTTTGAACGCAAACACATAATAAAATGATAGCGTTCATAGGTTCCATCTTCCTAGCTGCAACCTCCCTTGCAGGGCTATGAACTAGCCTTATTGTGTTTGTTTAGTCCATTCATTCCTTTTGCAGATATCCCCCCTCCGGGCCCCATGGACCTTCCGCTGTCTTTGCTGGAGATGGGATGCTCTGGCAAGTTTGAGCTCATCACGTACCCTGTGCCCGATCAGCCTTTGCTTCCACAGAGCACGGTCAGTACGCAGCTTGAGGACTGTGTAGACTTAGTCAAGTACTGTATCTAATTAAAATCTTAAGGTGCTTACTCTGTGAATCATATTATATGACCTTATAAATAATGACAAACTTTACATAGACACCACTTTTCAGAACAAAGTTACAAAGTGTTTTACATGGTTCAACCTGGGATTAAACAATTTTAGGACTGCACTGAGGCAAATAGTCAGACAAGTAAAATAACATTGAAAACAAAGAAATAAAATAAAATGCACATCAGTAATAGAAAAAATACTTTTGTACTGTTACTTTCATATGACTTGTATTGGTGCATTTTTACATAATTGTGTCTGTTTAAGTAAAGTAAATGTGAATACTTCTTGTGTATGTGCATTCAAACTAAATTTTACACATTACTTAATTGTTACAATCACTTAAATTGCACATTTTAATACTAAAGGAATCAATACGTGTCTGTGTAGTTAGAAATAAATGTTTGCCTGTTAAAAGACACCTAATTATATATATGTGTGTATGTGTCTGCAATTGCTGGCTCACTAAATTTCCTCAGGCTGCTGAAGATCTGATGATGTTATCTTTTGCTCGGTAGCTCCCCCATTGGCTTCCCCCCACAAGCCTGAACCTGGAGACAGAAGTAGAGAAACAGTTTTTAAGGGATCCTGCCTGGCTTCCTATACATGACACAGACTTTGCCTTCCAAAGGTTTATCAAGTATGTATTGCTGCATACTATACAGTACTACAGTAATACAGTATGCGTAGTGTACATACTAAACAGCAGATGAATAACAGCCAAACAACTGAATTACAACCAATCCTGAGCAGATAAAAGAGAATATCACTTTAAATCAGATATGACGGATTGATCTGAGTCACTCAGTTTTTCTAGTGTTTTTTTTTTTTTTAACAACCATGTCTGTCTGAACAAGATGTCACTGTTGTGTTGTCGTCTTCACCAGGGTGAGTCAGAGAGAATATAATGTTGACTCTCTGCTCAACTGTGCTCCATCATCGCTTCACTCTGGTCTGTCTGTTGTCAGAGATCCAACCACAGGGATGCTGCTGGACTTCACAGAGGTAGTCCACACACAGTGGCCCACCTTTCACATTATTATTTTAATTCTATATAAAGCACAGTGTCATCTACTGCTATAATGATTGGTAGATAACAGATTATTATTCAACAACATAATGTCACTTTAACATGTTATCCCTTGGATACTTCTGACTATTGCTCCATAAATAAAACATAACATAAGCGGACATTTCAGAAATGTACATTTTTCAGTTTTTCAAATATGAATATTTGCTGTTTTCTTTTTCCATGTTAGTAAAACTAAATCTCTTTGGGTTTGAACTGGAATTTCTTGCACTTTGGAAAATATGGATGAGCATTTATGATTATTTTCTGATGTTTTATAGACCAAATGACTCTTTCATTAATGAAGAATGCAATCAACAGATTAATTAAGAATGAAAATAACCATTAATTGAAGCTCTAATGTTTTTAAAATCCTTTATGAAAATTCATTTGTCTCTTATTGAGAGGAAGATGCTGTGGTATAACTCTGTTCCCATGGTGCATATAAAGAATCCATCCACGTTGGTTTAAAAGCAAGAGCCTGTTGTGTTACTTTGAACAAAGTAAAGGTTGATTCAGGTACTTTGGGGTCTATTCTGTTCATTAAGGTTTTATTGGAGAACACTGGCCTCTCAGCAAAAAACTCTCTGTCATTACAACGCCAACCCGGGCCTCCTTCAGAGAGCCTCCGAGGAAGCAATACCAACTACCCCTTCCTCCCTGGTGAGATAGATTAATTCAAAACATTTTCTCCTCAGTGATTTATGTATTTTTTTTCCAATAGTTTAGATTTATACAAATGAGTTTTCATTGTGATGTTGCAATATATTTGGTGTGATATTGGTCATCGCAGGAGGAATGGAGGAGATTACACTGGACCAAATCAAGAAGAAATCTGACCTGGAGAAGGATGTTGACTTTGAGAAGGGTGAGTTTGAAATTTTGCAGTGGCGTAAAGTCAAGACTTCTGCAGTTATTGCAGTTCTTTATGGTTGTTTCTTCTCCACTCAGATTTTCTCCAAGTTCCACCTGGACTTAAAGCTGGGATGGACTTCAGTGACAAAGGTTAGGTTACCATATTGTCCTGTGTAAACATCCTGCAGGGGTTAAAAGGAAATTACATAATAACTTCCTATTTTTTGTTTGTTTGTATCTTGAAGATGCCAAAATAGCCAAGCCAGAGGTCAACCTCATGTCCCTCCTGTCCACATTTGATGATATTACTGATTTGCAACCTGAGGCAGAGGAGAAGCAGGAAAGCAAAGGAGGTAAAGAAGCCCCCCAGCTACCTAGAACAAACAGCCTTGAAGACCTGGGCATCAAGGTATTTCAGCAGTGCTTATATCTGGCAAACTGTTTCTCTTCAGCTTAACGTTATTATCAGAGAAAGATTTGAAATGTACACTTACATATTATCGCTGTAGAACAGTAGTACATTTCTGGGTCTCGGGTTGAGTTTGTGTTGAAAAAAATAGATTTCTCAAAGACGTGGCCATTGTACTGTAACTTATAGCTGCCACCATGAGAAATAAATATTTTCTCAGTATCTCGTTATAACAAGAAAATTGTTGCGTTATAATGAGATACTTGTCTTTCCACTACTACTACTTTTCACGTTAAAACAAGATACTGCATTTTCTCCTTAAATGGCATACCGCCTAGAAACTGCAGATGAAAAATAAATTCCAAGGTGTTTACAGTGTATAAATATGGTCACTGGTGGAAGAAGTACTCGGATTGTTTACTTAAGAAAAAGTATCAATGCCACAGTGTAATGTACTCGGTTACAAGTAAAAGTCCTGCATTCAGAACATTACTTAATTAAAATGGCTCAGTTCACTTCAAGCTAGATTTAACTACGTTATATGTTTATAATTTGAAATACTTTACATGCTGATGGTTAGCTTGTGAATTTCCCACCAGGGATCAATAAAGTCTTAGAGTTATACTGTATTTTGTTTTATTAATTTCATTTTTAGAGGTCAATAGTTATCAAATAAATGTAATGATTAAAAAATGCATTATTTTTCTTTAAAATGTAGTGAAGTCAAAGTTTGAAGTAGCAGTGTAGTGCTTGAACGTACAGCCGAGGAGGCACCATTGTTTATATAACTCAAAACTTTCTTTCTATGTGTAGAATAACTGAGTATTGTTGGATATTTGCACGATGCGAATCACAGACATGTATCATAAAGAAATACTTCACAGCATAAATCATGGTTCGTCCAAGTATTATTCTTAGAATGAATTGCTTCAGTATGAATAACATGCCAACTCTTTAATTTGGAAACTGAGGTGAATTCCATTATAATGCAGTCCTATGGCCTAAGGATGTTGTTGCCTCTGGCCAAACATTTATTACAGTGAAATCTGCTTCTCTTCCTGTCTTCAGGATGCTGTGTCATCCTCTACTGCCTCAGAGAAAGGAAAAGATGAGAAATCAAAGCCAAAGGAGAACCCAGAGATAAAGAAGAAATGGGCCATCCCTGTCGACATAACTTCACCCTGTGATGATTTCTATAAACGCATCCCCAACCCAGCTTTCAAGGTGGGTCTACTAGTAATCATCCAGTTAGCCTAAAATATGATACAGTAAGGGTTTGTCCCTCTGTTTACATACTCACTCCCCTCCCAGTGAGTTTGCTGTGTATATGTGATGAATCACCTTGTTGGCTGAGCATCCGGTGATAAGTGTTCGCTTTCCCTGCCTTCCTCTGCTCCAGTGGCCGTTTGAGCTGGATGTGTTCCAGAAACAGGCTGTGCTGAGGCTGGAGGCTCACGACTCGGTGTTTGTAGCCGCACACACATCAGCTGGCAAAACAGTGGTGGCTGAGTATGCCATCGCTCTTTCACAGAAACACATGACAAGGTGTGTATTTGTTGGTACAAATTAATATAATATTTGTAGGTGCTTGGCTGTAACTAATAAACAGAGTTCACAAGATTAAAAATAAAAAGAGCAAGACATCGTAGTTTATCTGAAAACTTAAAAATGAACAAAATATGGTTTTGTTGTCACGAGATGGTGGCACATTTATATGATTACATTTGTTAATTTTTTATTCAGTGTACTTTTTTTATATCATATTCTGAATCTCCTTCTAATAGAACCATCTACACATCCCCTATAAAAGCTCTGTCCAATCAGAAATTCAGAGACTTTAAAAACACCTTTGGAGATGTTGGCCTCCTGACGGGCGACGTCCAGCTCAGTCCTGAGTCCTCATGTCTCATCATGACCACTGAGATCCTCAGGTACTTCAATTGTTTGTTATAAAAGAAATAGGGATATTTTCAACAAAAATGATCTTTCTAAATTCCTTTCTGCTGCTCTCCTCTCTCAGGTCTATGCTTTACAATGGCTCAGAGGTCATCAGAGACTTGGAGTGGGTGATATTTGACGAGGTTCACTACATCAATGATATTGAGGTCAGGAACAGTGACAACTGCTTTTCCTCCAGTGATCTGGTTTGCTGTTAAAGTCATGAATAACAGTTTTCCTCTCCTCTTTGATTTCCTCAGAGAGGCGTCGTGTGGGAGGAGGTTCTGATTATGCTTCCTGATCACGTCAGTATCATTCTCCTTAGTGCCACAGTACCAAACGCTCTGGAGTTTAGCGAGTGGATTGGGTAGGTACACCACACTGACATCTGCTGAAACACTGAATATTAAAGAACTGTTTAATAAGCAGTGAGGGAGATCACAGTCTGTACTTTTAGCTTAGATATCCGATCTGCTCTTAATATTGTTTTGTTTCCTTGAACATTTCTTCTTCTCTTTTCTCAAATTTTTATCCCCAGTCGTATTAAGAAGAGGCATATTTACGTGATCAGCACAGTGAAGAGACCTGTGCCTTTGGAGCATTACCTGTACACTGGTAACAGCACCAAGACTCAGAAAGAAATGTTCCTGCTGGTGGATGCTGCAGGCAACTTCCTCACTAAAGGGTATAATATCTTTCTAGTGTACAGCTTTGGTAGAGGGCTGTTCTTTTAGTTACAGAGAAAGGCAGAGCTATTTGTCATAAAGGGATCATGCTTGCCCATCAGGTACTATGCAGCTGTTGATGCCAAGAAGGAGCGAACCAGCAAACATGCTCAATCATTTGGCACAAAAAATACTTCTCAGAACACTACAGCTAGTCAGGTAATTCCTGTCATTTCTTTTGAGTTTCATTGCTGCCTTCTGATTATCATCTAACAACATCCTCATGCTGCCTCTTATAATCCCTCTCTGTACTTTGTTTCCTTCAGGATCGGGCAGTGTGGCTCACCCTGCTGCACTTTCTGTCCCAACGGCAGCAGACCCCAGTAGTCGCATTCACCTTCTCTCGGACACGGTGTGATGATAACGCACGCTCGCTGGAATCCATGGACTTGACCACCTCCGTAGAGAAGGCCGAGATCCACTCTTTCTTCCAGAAGAGCCTGAGTCGTCTTCGAGGAGGAGACCGACAGCTACCTCAGGTAAACAAAAAAAAACCCCAGCCAGCTTTAGCCTTAGGTTTTCCCTCCTCAAGCTTTTATTAGACACAGTATCCGAAAGTGATGATGAATTCATTTTTTATAAAATATTTAACTGTAATTTAACATTGATTTTGAGGAACATTTCCTTAAAATTTGTGTCAGACAGAAATTCTAAGAAATCATATCAGGTTAAGTCTCTTTTAAGAACATTAGGCCGACCTCTACTGTAGATAACTAGATTTAATTGTGCTACTCTTCCCAGGTCATCTGTTTGTAATGCTGGCCCTACTTGTTTGTTCTTTATGTGGAAATTAAAAAAAAAAAAAAATCCATAAAGCCCCTGAGCTCCAGTGAATCATGTGTTCGCTCAGCCACAAGATGGCTTCATTAACAAAGCTTTTTTCTGTGAGAAGTTTCCACTGACCTGCACTTTTAACTTGACTTCTCACAAATACCATAATTATAGGTCCTGGGTAGACCCTGTGTGTTTCTCCATATTATATGTCACAATTTGGTCATATTTGATGCCATGCTTTCCTACTTTGAGATCAGAGCTGATCAATATTATGTCAGTGATTTAGCTTTGACGCTGTCTCAACAGTGAAAACAGCCATAATATTTGATGTTAAAATTTAGATCTTGCTCATGAGGGACCTGTTGAAGAGAGGAATAGCCGTCCATCATAGCGGGATCCTGCCCATTCTTAAGGAGGTTATTGAGATGCTTTTCTCACGAGGGCTTGTAAAGGTGAGTCAGAGTGGCTGGTTAAAACAACAACAAGACAGTGTGAAACAATGTGCTACAAGGACTAGCTTTATTGCAAATGTATCTATGACTAATTGAAGCACAATCCGCAAATACATGTTGGCCCAGAGGTGGTTCAAACTGTCCTCGTGTATCTTCCCTTCATCTCCCAGGTGCTGTTTGCCACTGAGACATTTGCAATGGGAGTGAACATGCCTGCCAGGACTGTGGTGTTTGACAGCATCAGGAAACACGATGGGACTGGCTTCAGAAATCTACTGCCAGGTTTGGTCCACCCTTTCTCTGTCTGTGTTTCCTTTCTTTTGTCTGAACTACTATGTATTATGCTCTTTCATCCCTAAACATAAATTGGAAGGCAACAGTGTTTTTGATCTCTGTGTTTTGAACTGTACTTTCAGGTGAATATATTCAGATGGCAGGCAGAGCAGGCAGGAGAGGTCTGGACGCCACAGGCACAGTCATCATTCTGTGTAAAGCCGGCGTTCATGAGATGGCAGATCTGCATGTCATGATGCTGGTGAGGCCTTTCATGTTTCGACTGCAGAGCTTTAGTTTTGTAACATCCACCTGCCACATGGGTTTATATATATCGCCTGGTTTGGTATTAACTCTCCTGGTCACGTATTCTAGATGTACTTTATATCCTCTCATAAAGCAGATCTCTACCTCTTGTGTCTTTGGCTGTGTGTCAAGAGAGGCGCTGCATGTTGGGTTCTTCTTTTAACATTTAATTACACAGCTGAGTAGCTGTTCTAACTCTTTCTTCCTCTGTGCCACTTTGGAGAAGTTTCAATTTCAATGTGCTTTTCAACAAAAATAAACCTCCTATGTCCCTGGTTTGTGTTTTATCCTCTGTAAAATGTACAAGAACTAGTGTCTTCCCTTCTTTGTTGAATATAAGTTTATTTTTGTGTCATAATGTACTAATAATTGTCAAATGATATGTTCATTGGAAAACTTTATTTAAATTTTAAAAAATGCTTGCAGGCCAGCAGGAAGAATAAATGAAAAAGAATGACTATAGAAAATATCTGTATCGGCTACATCCTGAAACCGCTCACCACTTAGTTTTGTACTGACTTGTATCATCATCATCATCACCCCGTCTGGTGGTTCAGGGCAAACCAACAGTCCTCCAGTCCCAGTTCAGACTTACCTACACTATGATCCTCAACCTGCTGCGAGTCGAAGCCCTTCGTGTGACCGATATGATGAGGAGGAGCTTCTCCGAAAGCCACAGAGACGTTCAGGTAATGTACCCCACCAGGTTAATTATAAATGATGTACTGCACATGTAAGGTTTATCATGGAACGGTGAAATGAAGCAAGCAAACAACACAGATGCAGCAGTTAGGAATGAAATCAGAATAAAAGATTTATTTATTACAGTTACATCATTCTGTTGTTGCTAACTTTTATTCTTTTTGAATTCTTTCTTGCATATTCCCTGAGCCATAATAGCTGACGTGTAATAAAAGCTTTTTCTCCCTGCTCCTGTTTTTCTCATCCTCTTGCTTCAGGCCCAGGAGAAGAGGATCAACCAGCTGAAGCAGGCATTGTCCTCTCTGCCTCCTCTGGACACAGAGGGCCAGCTGTCCGACCTGTTGCCTTACTACCACACAGTGACAGAGCTACGAACCATCACTGAAGCCCTGCAGGTGCACACACATAGACACAAGCTCATACTGTAATCTGCTGCTTGTTTATCTTTCCTACACCTTCTCCTTGTTGTCTCTCGTTTCAGCGCGCTATCCTGGAGTCTGTGAATGGGCTGAAAGCTCTGTCTGTGGGCCGAGTTGTGGTGGTTAACAACAAACAGCATCTCAATGCCCTGGGGGTTATACTACAGGTAGGTGTGTGTTTTCCTTGGTGGTTTGGACAGTAGCAGCAGCTGAAGACATGGACACTCTTTAAAACTCATCACACTTTACTCAAACCTGTTATAAGTGCTTCATAAGGTCCTGCAAAGTCAGAATATGTTCTAGGGTAGCCCTCTGTGCTGAATCCAGTTGTCTCAAGTCGGGTTTTATTTGTATAACTCGGTATCATAAATCACAAATTTGCCTCATTGGGCTTCAGACTGCACAGCAATAGGACTACAGTATTAACATTGTTAACTGTGTATTCCCTTGTTTTTACATTTGTGTTAACCTCTACTCATCTGTTCTGTCTTGTCTCCATGACAGGTGTCCAGTGACTCAGTCAATCGTACCTTCACAGCTCTCATCATTTGTGAGAAAGGCAATGAGGAACGAGAAGGAAAAGGCAGCGACAACACAGCTTTCCCTCACCTCTACAACACAACTCTCTTCATACCTGAAGGTTGGTGGACAGACAAACAGGTGCAGATACAGTACCTGCACCTCTGTGGAGATGGACACACACCTATTCTGGTTTCCCTTCATTAACACAGAATTTAATCTACACCCCTAGACTTCCTACACATTTACTAAAAGTAGTTGCACATTTTTTTTATGCTTTCACTGCGCAGGTTGCAGTTAGTACAAAAGTAGAATTAGTTTGTCCTTTCTCATGTTGTTTTTAACCAGGTCCTTGCAGCCACACGGTGCAGAAGTTGAAGTTTCAGGACATCTCAGCCATCACAGCGAAAACCCTCAAAGTGATTCCTGACCGGATCATCGATAACTATAACAAGAGGCAACAGCCAAGATTCAGGTGTGAGAGAATGAGAATAAACCTGGGGTCTAATTGTCACATCTGTATTAAAACCTAAGTAATAATAGGTGTGTGTGATTGTGATATTAACTCACGTTGTAGGGATGTAAATTGTTTTACACAGTTAACATTGTGGAAATTACCGAATTTTAAATGTGATGACTTTGGGTAAGTCTTCAGGAATCCAATTTGTCAAATTTTGTCTCACTGTTTCATCACTCTGTTGTCCTGTAGACATGATCCTCCCGGTCAAGCCATCTCCACGGCGACACAGGAGCTCCTACGATTGGCTGAGGCCAACCCTGGCGGCATAGCATCCCTGGACCCCGTGAATGACCTCCAGCTAAAGAGCATTGATGTGGTGGAGGGCTCCATGAGGCTCCACGTGCTGCAGGACACATCCAGACATTTCAGCTGCATCCACTCGCCCACATTCTCAGAGCAGGTGTGTGTTTGTGTGTTGATGTTTTAATCACTGAGGCAGTCCTTGATGTAAGCAGAAAAAGTAATAATTTTGAGATGTACTATGCAGATGAATAATGAGGCAAGTGTTCAGTTTCACTTAGTTAATACAGATGTGCCTTACTGCGGTGTTTTCATATTTATGCAGCTAATTAGCATCACACCCAAACATAAGACACTTATTTTGCAGTTGGCCCCCTTTTGATGCCTCCTGTCATTTGTCTCATTTTATTCCAGCGTCAGTCTCCTTTTCTCTTTCCATCCTTTCTCTTCTACTTTCACAATAATAACATCAAATTCTGCCACAAGAGTCCTGCTTTTGTGTTGTGTGTCCTGTCTTCTGGCAGGATTGTTGAGGAGATGAGATGCGAGAATCTGAGCTGGCTGTTTCTATAATTACCTGTATAGGCTCACAGTTGCAGCTCATCAATGTCTCACAGGCACAGCGTGTCATTTGAGCCATGTCACGCATACACACTCTCACACAAGCGCTTTTCTTAAAAACATCTCTTACTTGCAGTATCACTGTAGATTCATGCTTCCTTGTTTTCATGCAGCATTATGGGTATTGCAAAGAAAGAGTTAATGCAAGATGCTCTACAGTGCAAGCTGGTAATATTCAGTAACTGGCCTCAGTGGGTTTATGTAACATATTCACTTGAAGACTCTTCTGTGCTGTCAATGAGAGGACTGATTTTTCTCTCTGCTACAATAGAATGTTGCTTTTTTTAAAATTATTATGATAAGATCAAGCTCTGTGCAGCACTTATGTACTCAGTGTGTCTGTGTGCTTGTGCTTCAGTTTGTTCAGCTTAAGGAGAGGATGAATTTACAGGAGGAGCTGGACAGGCTGCTTTTCCTGGCATCGGACCAGTCTCTGTCTCTGCTGCCTGAATACCACCAGAGGATCAAGGTTTGATTCGCGGTTCTGACCAGTTTCTGTCAGGGCATTTTCCTGACTGTTATCTTTATCATACCAGTTATGTTTTAAAGCATTTACATTTTCATGTAGGCCTTTAGCCTACCATTTATATACACTGCAACAGTAGAAGTGCAACATTAATTTGTGTTGGGACTCCAGTAGAAGTATTATTACTGATTATTCTGCTAATTATTTTTCAGCTAATCATTTAGGACATAAAATGACAGAGAATATTGCAAAGTACCCACGACAACATCCTAGAGCCCAATGTGAATATTTAAAAATTCAATTTAGAGTGAACAAACAACATTTTATCAGATAAAATCTGAAATTTGCCTTGCAGCACAAGGCAGCTCCAAGGACCAAACAATCGCAGCAACACATTAGCAAACAATAAAAGTATACTACTTCTACAACCCCCACTTACATAATTATCACAGTCTCTGGATACGGATCGTACATAGCCAAGCCCTGGTTTTGATTTAACAACATTATGGACTGATGAACAAAGGTTTTTTTTTTAGTCTATTCTTTCTAAAATAAGGAACTCTGAATCACCCGTTGGAGTGCAGAATTTGGTATTCATTATTTAAGATGTGAGAAATTGGAGGAGATGCTCTTTGTCAATCCTCAAGTAGCACAACTCCATGTTTGAGAAACTGCAGCTAGTCAGCGTTTTTATCTCTCTGCTATTTCTTAGAGGAATAGTTTAGTATTCTAACTGAGTGCAGCCAAAAGCAATTTCAGCTCAATTGATCCTGAACAAATACAGTGAGAGGTCCGTTTCCCTGCCTGCTCCCCCCAGGTCCTTCAGTCCCTCCAGTATATCGACAGCAGTGGGGCGGTGCAGCTGAAAGGCCGTGTAGCCTGTCAGATCAGCAGCCACGAGCTGCTGCTGACCGAGCTGCTCTTCGAGAACGTCCTGAGTCCTCTGGCGCCTGAAGAGAGCGCTGCCCTGCTGTCCTGTTTGGTCTTTACACAGAACACGCAGGTGGAGCCGCACATTACCAACACACTGCAGGAGGTGAGAAGAAACTGGTATTTCGTTTTAACAGATTAATATCTGAGCTTTTCATGTGATAAAGTAGCAGTGAGCTTGAGGTGTGTGTTCTGATATACTGTATAGACCTTGCCTCCTCCATGGGTGACTCTCACACACACACTCTCATATTGTTACATGAAAATGCTTTATGAGCATATAAATTATTGATGAACCAAGGTTTGTATTCTGAGATCTGCTGTCCTGTGAAAGCGGACATGTCATGACACAGTCTGTGAAACAGATGTTCTGAATGTACATGCAAGAGGAGAGACTGCTGCATTTAATGGTTGCTTGTAACACTAAAGTCTGTCTTTCAGGCTTAACTTTCTCTTTCCTGTTCCTCTCTGTTTCCCTTTTTCTGTCAGAGCATTGATCGGGTGCTGTCAGTGGCCCAGCGTATCGGCGAGCTGCAGAGAGACTGTGGGATACCACAGACAGCTGAGGAGTTTGTAGGCCAATTCAAGTTTGGACTGACAGAGGTGGTGTACTGCTGGGCCAGAGGCATGGTGAGGTTCAGCCCTTTGCACTTGATTTTGACCCTATTTACACCTGATCTTAACACACAATCTTATCTGCATAAGGATGTGTGTTAAAGGGGAACTAAATGGATATTACATATCGAGATCATTTTACTTATCATGATGGGTACTCTTCAGTCTGTGAAAATAGTTGTCTGATGTCTTCTGCAACTCTCAAAAGAGCTTTCCGAGGTCTGTGGGCACATCAGCATTAATGCCAGTGAGGCTCTAACAAATTGCATCACTTACTATGGGAACTGTAGGATACAGTTCTTTTGGAGCTTCGGGACATCTTAACCTCTGCTGCATTAATTGTTTTTAGCAATCTTTTTTTAATATAACTCTTGTGAGTCCCCCAGGCTTATAGAAGTGTGTTACTAAATCACTGGAGAGCCTGTTTAAATTAGTTGTAGATGCTTGGAGAACACAATGCAGTAGTAATGCTGTCAGATCAGTATGTTGGATGCCAAGTGCTTAGACCACATCGGGAGGTGGTCTTTCTTGCACAGGGATCTGATCTCAGCTGCAAAGATAGATGTCACATGTTGTTGCAACCTTGCGTATATCACCTGACAGTTGCCATGACCATGTTTGGGCCCATGTTCTGCCATCTCAGGTAAGCCTAGCAAAAAGTTGCAGACAGTCCCCTCTTCATCGCAGTGAAAATATGTAGCGCTCATACTGTACACATGCCATTTGTGACTGAATTTGAGGCCAAATGATGTCGATTTCAGGTAAGAAAAACACATTTCCACATTTAAGAAGCTGGAATTTGCATTTCCTTCTAGATGTAACCTACTGAACTTGTCTTTTGCTGCTAGTGTTGCATCGTATCACATGCCATATCTCTCCCCTTCACCAGCCGTTTGCAGAAATCGCCCTGCTCACAGATGTCCAGGAGGGCACGGTGGTCCGCTGCATCCAACGCCTGGACGAGGTACTGAAGGAGGTGCGTCAGGCCGCCCGCATCGTGGGAGACTCCGTCCTGGGGAGCAAAATGGAGAGAGCCTCCCTATCCATCCGCAGGGATATCGTCTTCACTGCCTCCCTCTACACCCACTGAGAAGATGAAGACAGGGAGGGAGGATGAACGTGAGAGCATGCCAAAATGCCTGCAGCCAAGCGTTTCTTTGTGTGAAAGGTGTGAGAAAGAGATGTATGGGGGAGGTAGAGAGATGGTGTATGTTAACATGTTTCTGCTACCAAGTGCTCTGTGCCTCAAAATATGTTTACATGAATATTTCTGATCACAAAGAACATAATGATTTTAACCATCAGACCAATGTAGAGACTGTGGCAATGAACATGAACTCTGGATTGTAATGTGTTGTACAGCAGTAAAATCTGTGTTCAGTAATATACTGTCCAAGATATCTGTGGAAATTAAAATCATGAGCAATAACATGAAATGCCTGGTTACAGGCATCATCAGCCGTCTGTTCTAAAGGCTTCGTGGTGGCCTGTTAACAGAGGCTTCTTGCAAAGAAAATCGTTTGAGCACAAAATTGGTGAAAGAAAAAACTGAGGCTGTGAAATGCCATCTAATACAGAAGCAGATTCTTTGTTGAGCAGTAGTGGGATGTTTCAATCCAGTGCCTGTGCGTTTTGCCAATCCGGGCTGTCGCTTTAAGACAACAATAGCTTTGTGTCTGATTAATTCAATGTACAGTGACGCGTTAGTGGAGACGCATCCACACACAGGAGATATACTGTGGTCTGTGCGTTGCAAGAGAATAGGGTTTACTTAAAGAAGAAAAGATCAACCTTAAGTTAAATACACCCACGGTCGAACAATATTATTAAGATGAAGACATCTTGAGGATGGGTTGCACGCGTCTGGAATAAGTCTGCATCACCTCGCACCAAAGGAGGGACTTTTTACCACCAGTCGGAGTAAAATACATCCCATCAAAGGAGGAGGAGGACAGAAGATCGGAAGGCATGTCGTCGGAAAAACACGGTGAGTGTTTTAATTGTGTTGAACGTGGCCTTAATGAGCCACCAGTTAACCCAGTTGCAATTAGAGAAATAGGTTCTATGGGATTTATATAGGCAGTTTGATGCACCGGTGCCTTTTTTTTGTCAGTGCATTTTCTCCATCTTCATTTTGTCAATATCCCCATGCGTTATTCATCGGTACAGTGCTGTTTCTATAGGTGCACCGCTGTGTGGGTGCAGCCTGGAAAAAAAGATCACCATGGGGCCTCATTCTGTCCGAGAGTTAAGACACATTGTCGGAGTTTGGGGTCCTATTTTTGTCTTGGGTAGGGAATTTTCTAAGGGGTTTATTCGCTTTCTGCATAAAATGTGAATGAAAATTGTAGTATTTTGCAATGTATAATAGGTTTTTTCTTGTCTCTTTGTGCCTCATAATCATCATTACGCACAGGCCTACGTACGTCTGACTATAGTCATTAGTGTGGTGTCCTTTGCGTGTGCACGCCAATTCATTTGCGCGTGTTCAGACTTTAATAATCCTGAATGTCTGGAGCTGCAAAAGGAAACGTTTGTCTCTTTTATGTTGGGCCAGGTAGCTACTGGAGCTCAAGCGCCGGATGAGCTGCAGCTTTACAGTAGAATAAATAAATAAATAAAGCCGATAATGACTCTTTAAGACGCCAGTGTGTAAAGGGCATCCTATGGTAGTCGGCAGCAGTTTGGGCTTTAAGTAAGACTGCATGGCCAAGGAGGAACAACACTTCACTGTTAGCCTACTAATGAAACACCTTGGATGTATAAGAAGTTGACAAAACGCCACAACAGTCATTGTTTTTCCTGTTGTAGTGTTGTGGGTATATTCGTGTGCTATTGTTTAGACTATCACATGACCTGCAGGATCGATTGTGGCCCATGTGACGTCAGTACTGTTAATGTATCTAAGATAAGAGATTAATTTGCACCTGTAAACCCACCTGAAAGCAGTTACAGCAGGAGGAATGGGAAACTACCAGTATTTGTTTTTGCTATCAACTACAAGTCCTTGTCTGACAGGAATAATGTTAATCCATATGTCGTGGCAAGAGTGAGATACCAACTAAATTAATTCAGACAAACCATTACAATTTAAAGGATCATTTAATATTACAATTATTCTCTTTAAACAGATAATCTTGTCGTTAGGGAACAGAGATCAGAGAACAGAGACTCTCCTCTTGCAATGAAATAGATAAAGCATAAGCAGATTGTCAGAGCACGTCACCCCCGAGTCAGTCAGCGTCTTCCCCCAGCCGGCTGGGTCCCCAAAAGGTACATGGTCTACTGCTCACTGCCGCACGGTCTACCCTCTCTCTCTCTCCCAGGCTCACTATTTTATCAGCAGCTTCCCTTATGCTGTTGCATCAATTTCTGAACCTAGCTTCCTGTCTCCAGTTTCAGGAGACAACACCCTGGGATGTACTTCGAAAACAGAAAACATCTTGTTCCTGACCATTTACATAAACCCACTGTCCAACTCACATGAACTCACATAAACTTGATGAACCCGTAACCACTCAGCTCAAACAAGTACAATTAATAAAATAAGCACAAATAATGTCTATATGTGAAGTACATACTGTTCTATTACATATTTCTTCTGGAATCTGGTTTATTTTTAACCACCACACATATATACAACATTTCTACTAGTATAATAACTCATAAACAAAATGTCTCTAATCCTGGTCTTTATTATGTAATTGTTACTGACAGTTAGGGTTTTAATTTAAATTTCAAGTCCTGCGCTCAGCTGAGAAGAGTGACAGCAGTTCGCTAAGAAAGATGTGTTTGACTTATAGAAGCTATAAATGAAACTGACTTGATTTTTCCCACACAGATGTGCACATTAACATGAATTTTGCACCACAGGGCCACCTGTTCCACATCTCGCCTGTAGGCCACCCATATTTGATCATTTTAAATAGATTCAAAATGGAAAAAACTGTTCCAAATATAATTGGAGGCATAGGCAGATAAACACCCACAGCTCACACATATATTTTATTTCACGTTTGCTAAGCTGTTTGTCACATCACATCATGGCATTTTAAAGGTGTCCCTTCCCCTGTGCTCGCTCGGTTTCTGGTCCACTTCCTAGTTGTGACAGAGTCGGGGGCTGTTATGTAAAGCCGGTCCCCGAGCACTATTCGTCATCCCTCATCACTCAGCCGCCATGCGCTCTGATTTCCTCCTGCTCTCCTTCTTCCTCTCTCATTTCATCCTCACCTCCATCTATCTCTATCTCTTTTCCTCTTCCCTCTTAATGCCACTGTCGGAATGGATCACCGCACCCTGCAGCTACTTCCCTGCTGTGAAAACACGACATCCTATCAGTCATGTTTAATATTAACAAATCCAAAGGGAGCAAAGGTGTGAGCATAAAATGTTCTGATGTCCAAAAGCAGATGGACGCTTCAGTGAAGACCATCAGATGAAGTGGTCCACTGCAGAAATCCCACATTTCTGATCGCTAATAAACATCATTGGAAGGGGAAGGAGGAGAAAAGGGGCCTTTGAGAGTGAAAATGTCAATCACTGTCATCATTAGCATACAGCCTGCTCTGGTTGGAAAATATCAGGCCTGTTCTTTCTTCTGGAGGCTTAGTGAAGTCTTACAGAGGAGCTGTACTCTGTAATTGTTTTCCCCTTTTCAACAGTGAGTGAGATAAGACGTGAGACAAATGTGTTGCAGTGCTTGAGTTAGGTAACACCTGTTCCTGTCATTATTCTTCCTCTGCTATTTCTGTTTGTGATTCCTCTCCTACCTAGTTTTTGTATTTCAACATTCAACCCTCTTTCTTGTCTCTCTTTGTCTTCACATTTCAGGACTCGATGATTCTGGCCGTCAGACCATGCAGCCTCCTCCGTACCTCCCTGGCCCACAAGACCCCAATGTACCCCAACATCCCAACATGCCTCCTGCACCAGGCACCCAGCCCAACTACCCTCCTCCACCTCCTCCTCCGGGCTCAGAGGGATACCTCCAAGAAACCCAGTTCCACTGCAGCCCAATGGGACCTCCTGCGACCCCACAGGGCTACACCGTCCAGACCCAGGGCCCTGGAGGCACAATGCCTCATCCACCTGTAGGATACCTCCACCCAGGCTACCCGCTTCAGCTGCAGCCTTGCACAGCTTATGTACCTGTGTACCCCATGGCATCGGTGAGTCAGAGACGAGTCTTTTTATAGATTTCACGTCTGACATCAGGCTGCTACACAATTATACAGGTCTTTGTTCAAAATTCAATACATTCTACATTTCTTTACAACTCATAACACTGATGATAGCTCTTATGTTTGCCATTCTTCCCTTTTGCTGATTCCATGTATACAGTTTTATTTTGGTAACACTTTATTCTACAGGTCCATAGTTTCCTAATAATTTGCTATGAATTGTTTTGGAAAGAACCGTGTTATTTGGTACTAAATAAGGGAAATACATATGGTGTTTTATGGCAAGTCATATGACAAGTGTTGATTTTCAGAGAAATTTCTTTAAAATGCTTCAGTAAACCACATAAATGAATCATTTGCCTGCTTTGTGGCTATTGGACATATTCAAATTAAACATCTGTATTTAGGAAACTACCTCGAAAATTATGAGAAAAATGCAGACCCATAAAATTAAGAACTTGCCAAACTCTGTTCACAGTATTAAGTTATCACGCTGCTATCTTTACATACAGGTGAAATTGTTTGACTATCTAACTTGGTTGATGTGGGGTTTTTATTTAGTTGTCTGGCTATTTTTTAGAGGCAGACAAATACACAAGCACACATTAGAATATTCACTGAATAGACTAATTCCACATATCACTGCATTTAGAGGCTAAGCCTATTTGCATTACTTCTCCTTAGATGGGCCTCTAAAAATAGCAAATGCATCAGAAATGTGCCTGTGCACCAGCATTTGTAATTAATCTAAGAGCATCGCTATGCTTCATTGTGCATGCAGTTTTCTGGCTGGTGACATCTTACAGGCAACTTTAGACACGGGTCAGTTCAAAGTGCTGGTGGTTCATATTATGGTTCATATTACTCATCGTTTTATTAAGTAGAGTCCTCGAGATCAGTGGTTTTCAATCTGGGGTTCAAGAGCTCAGAAGAGGTCACTGGATAAATCTGTGAGACGATTAACAACATAGGGAAGTAGATAAAACACGTTTTACATGTAATTGACAAAATATCCTTAAACACAAATGCAAGCAATTTGCAACACAATTCTAAACACGGTTTCATTTAGAGAAGCTTAGAGCAACAAGTCTTGCAGCTAATTACAGCCTGAGGATATGAGCGTACAAAGATATTTTGCAGGTGGTTTGTAAGAAGGCAAACCTGCAGAAAATGTCCAGTTGGCTATAAAGGCTAATCTTTAGGGGCTCTGCACTGTGATTAACTGGCTTTTGATGTTTCACATGACTTGCACAGCTATCAGATTGTAAAAAATTCATCTAAATCAATTTGACAGACTGTTATCAAAAATGCAGATAGAGGCTTTTCCCCCTTGCTCCCTGTTTGATCCCAGTAATCCTAACAGGCTTTATATCACTCCCTCAGATCACCACGGCCTTCTCTTTGCTTGTGTCACCTTATTCCTGTGTCTTCTGAGTTGAAAGTGCTTGTGAGATGCTCTAAAACAGCCAAAATCTCTTGAAATGCACTTACCTTCAGTCCTTCTTCTCCTGTACATCTGCTCAGGGTCAGCCTTACATGCCAGCTGGGGGAGCCCACACAGCCATCCCACCAGGCCAGATTCCTCCAATGCAAATGTCACCCAACATCACCCTAATGGATCGTCGACCGCCACATGACTACCTGCCCATCGCCGTGCTCACCACCGTCTGCTGCTTCTGGCCAACAGGCATCATTGCCATCATCAAAGCAGTGCAGGTTTGTGCCACTTCATAGTGTGTCTTTGATTTTTGGCTTGCATTGAAATAATCTACCAGGGAGTCATTTTATTAGTGGTAAATTTCAGTCTGCAGAAAAGTAACATACTATAAATCATTTAATCACATTAACACTGAATCTTTGGAAAAAATCATGGTGATCATTAATGTGGCTTGTGGTTTTTATGAGATGTTATAACATTCTAAATATTCACAACTATAACAGTGTCTGACACACAGAGCTATCAAAATACTGGTAACATTTATGTGCCTCTATTAGGTGTGAAGTGTAAGACTGATGTTATTCTATAGTGCTTGTTGTTGTCCCATGAAAAGACCAAAACCAGTGAGTTAGTCTGTCTCTCAGTTTCAGATTTTTCCACCCTGTGTGTGCCACAAAGCCATTTATTCCTGGAAGTAAATCTTTAAAATAGGTCACAAATATATATAGTTTCAGATGTATGAATACCTCTGCTTTTTTTAAGCAACTGGACACTGTAGGTTTTCACAAATTCTACCCAAATAGGAGTAAAACATGTATTTTGGGGGACTATTAATTCACATTCAGTCAACTAATGAATATTTTTAGCAGCAGAACAGTGTGTGGGGGGGATTGATTCAACATGAACTAAAGTGCCCATGTCCTCTAGTCTGCTTATGTGGCTCACTTTTTTTAATGGTTTATACATAGCAATGGAGCTCTAGGGCACAGAGGACAGGATGACATACAGTGACGATAGCAAAACTCTAGAATATTCCCAGGCCACAACTTGTAAAATGCAAACATTTAAAATAAATTATGGTTCTTTATTAAGGATGACAGGTAGCTTAAGTTATTTCTGGAGAAAATGTAACAGACATAACTCTACTGGCCTGTTCATGATAAAAATACCCAAAGAAACACAGCAGTGTGCTCATGAACAAACCCGCAGACTTACTGGCTGTGTGTGAATGTTGTGATTGTTAGCAAAGATCGTTCATCCCTGAAGGCTAGTGTGGAAATGGGATGTTTTCCTGTGTCACTTCTTTTCTACCAACATGTTGAAAATAAGTGAAGTAACTGATATACTTGGTTGAAACACAGAAACATTCTGCAGAATTTTTAACTTTGTTTAGGCTGTAAATGGACTGGCATGAAAAATAACACAGACTAATGTCCGAGCCCAAACTGCTAATCCTAAATTACAACAAATGTATACATTCAGCGATGTCATCTCCACAGTGTGTGCATGAAAAGGCAGTTTGCTACTTGGCAAGCTGTTTACTGTTGCTGTTTAAGTTGAGTGTGATGTTAGAAGTATAAAGACTCATGCATCATGATGCCTGTTGTTTGCCTCTGTAATGGCAGACTGTGCCGACCAACATACACATGACAGCACACATTATGTAACTGTATCATCGTTGGTGCAACGGGATACAATGGATCTGGGCCTGCTCAGCTGGCGTTGAGTTGAGTTGAGTTGAGCTGACAGGGTGTGGACCCATTGGTCTGACTTGTATATGCTGCTATGGTGTGTTAATGTTGTGTGCAGTGGCCTCTTTCTGCACATTAAGGCTGTACTGCAGTGAAATTGATCGTGGTGGTTTAGACTTTCTCCTGCATTTACTGGTGCATCTTCTTGTTACATAACATATTCTCATTTCTCTTCTCTCCTACACACCCATCCCCCACCTTCCTGCGTGATTTAGGTGCGTACGGCAATAGCCAGAGGGGACATGGTGACAGCAGAAATAGCCTCCCGTGAGGCACGCAACTTCTCCTTCATCAGCTTGGCTGTTGGCATTGCCTCCATTGTGCTGTGCACCATCCTCACCGTGGTAGTCATCATCGCCTCACAGCACCATGACGACGACTGGGAGCCGTAACTTCACGCAGATGGGAAATCGTGGCACATATTTGCTAGCTAGCTACTCTCAATCGTTTGCAGGAAATAGGATCACTGACACTCAAACTGCTACTGCTTTCTGAACCTCTGTGTATAGCTACACACACACAGTTTTGATCTAACTTGCTGCCTATAGACACATATTGACAACCAAAAGCAGCCAATCATAGCTGATTTTCAAATGCCAAATATACACAGCTGTCAAATGAGGCCAGGTATTGCTGCTAGCACAGCGACCGCTTCATATTTATCCTCAGATATGACCTGCAGGAGCCAAACAAAGTTCCTGGCATTAACAATTCATTTGACACTGATTAATTTGTATAGCCTTCGCTAGAGGAGAGAATAGTATTTAACAACAAAACTGACACTCACAGTAGCTGAAATTAAAGACACCTCATTCAAAGAATTTTTATTAGGACAGAAAAATGCACATTTCAGTCATACAAGTACAAATTTTCTTTAAAAACAAAAACAGTGCCATGCTGAAACTGTTGATTTAGTGAGTAGTATTATTGCCGATACACAGACTGTCAGACTGATATAGGGTGATCAGTGCACATTTAACACACCAAATGGAGCCTGGATGAACAAAGTGAGTGTCTAACCAAACAGAGTATTATTTGAAATGGGTTGTTTGTATGTTACATGAACATTTTAGCTGGATGAAATGATAAAATAACTTGTGAACTATATGTTTCTTAACTTATTTAAAAACTATTATTTATTACTTTATTCAATATCTACCCATGCTTTGAATTTGTCTGCTATGATTTACGGTATTCGGTAATTTACTGCAGCTGACACTTTGAATTGGCTGAAATTTGATATCTTACGATGATTATATTGCACTTTGTAACCAGATGAGATGATGCAGATGCTTACATTCATAGTTCTTATAGTGCATGATAAATATAAAATTGGGCTTGTAGTGCAAAAACGGCTTGTCTCGCAGGTGTGGGGACTCTTCCTAAAATTGATATTAGTGTGTGGTGCAGTATTTTTCAAAATGTTGAACTGTCAAAACAAAAAAGGAGGAAAATTAGATAAGTATTTCAAACTTTTGCAGTATTGTTTTTTTTCAAGTATTTTAGGAGTGTATTGGCCTATTTTGTGTTGCACATCTCTTAGATATTTAATCTCAGACACTGTATATGAAACTATAGTACAGCGATAGACTTAGGAGGCAGCATTATCCTGCATGTCATCCACAGTTTGTTTCCATTTTGTCCTTAATATTGAGGCTAGATGTGCAGCTGTGAGCTCCTGTGACGCTGTTTCCCTGTTGTTCTGCAGCCAGTTGGATTTCCCCCATATGAGTACGGTGTCCATAATGTAGCGGAGCCCTTAGCAGCAGATGTGCTGTTGTTTGTATGAGCCAACACAGTTATAACTACTATGGGAGGTTGCCGGAGTTACAGGGCCTCTGAAAATGAATGTTTCCAATAGGTAAAAGAGATGGTATTGCCTATATTGTATTGTAGCACTTTCTGCTCATATATGAAATCTTTTCTCCGCTCCCCTTTGTTTCTCTTTTTCTTTCTCCTGCTCATATGGGTTGTTGGACTTATTACTGCTTCTTCTTTCCCTCTGGTGGGCCTGGTGTTTTAAAAAGAATTATACAGAGATATTACAGATTTTGAAGAAAATGTTTGAGCACAAATATAGACCTTATAAATACAATTTGTGCCATAGTATATTTCATTGATGTACAATATTAAGTACAGTGGACCTGTATTGATCAAACTTCTATAAATTACATGTAAGAATGAGAAAAATGCAAACATAACATGCCTTACTGGGGCCATGTAGTTAATCTGTTTCATCTATTCTAATCTGTTTTACTCACTGTTGTATTTTACTACAAAAAAATAGCAATTACCATGTTAAGTATGGACAATCTGATATTGTTATATTGTGTTTACAGTAGTGAATAGGAACATTTGGAACAAAAGGAAAACCAAACTGCAAAGGGGAGGAAGGAACCGTAACTAGACTATGGCTACCCTATTATTTTTATCGCTTCTCCTAGCAAATTCCCCATGATCAATGATATTTCTTCAGACTTGGCTTTACACCTGTACTGTTGACCTCCAGAGCAATCACATTTTAAAGCATTTTAAGTGAAAATAAGTTTCATAAATGGATTTTATTATTAGAGTAACAGTTTGTTATTTTAGGAACAATTTTTTTTATTAGCTTTCTTGTAGAGAGTTAAATAAAAAAGATACCAGTATGAAGCTGAAATCAGGATTGTTAGCTTAACATGGTAGCTGGAGACAGGGACACAGCTAGCCTGCCAGATAATAAAATATGTCTCCTAGCAACTCGAAATGGTTGTTTTTACACTTTGGCCTTTGTACAGATTTTAAAGAGAGAGATGTAACATTCATTTGTATATTTTAGAGGTGCATTTAAGTGGATCTTTGGACAGGGCCAGTTTCCAGTCTTTGCACCAAGCTAAGCCACGATAACTTGCCGCTGACTGTAGCTTCATATTTATCAGAAAGACAGGAGAATGCTATCAGCTTTCTCATCTAACTAGAACACAAATAAATAAAAAGGTGTCCCAAAATGTTTTTCTTCTAGTGTGTAAGTTGCAGTAAAGGTGGATTTTCTTACCATTATTTTACATGTAAGTGCATGATTTCACTTTTAGCAGTTTGATAAATACAGGCTTTGACTTTACATAATTGACACAGTGATATTTCAGTGTTAAAAGAGTAAATGAAGCACATTGTTGGTCAGTATTGTTATTGTACAGAAGGCTCTGACAGTGAGTGTGTGTTTACTGAACAGAGACTCTTAGCATATCTAATTTTTAGGGCGTGAGGCTGCATCTCCCTGTATGCTTTCTGATAGGACTCCTCCATGCTCAGCAACACAAACCGTAGCTGTTTGCTATACAGCTGCTAGATTGTTTTTCTTCATTTTCTTTCCATATTTCATTTTGGTTTTGAGCTTGTACAGTAAATACGACCAGTTGCTTGTTCAAAAAGCCAAAAATTACCAGTGTACACGTGGTTCTCTTGGGGTTTACTATTATAACTATGTTCATAGCTGTATTGCACATGCATTGGTTGTTTCTGACTTCAGTTGTTTGAGTAATGAATAAAAGAATTTAATTCAGGGTTGTGAATGACACAGTGGAGCAGACAGTGTCTCATTTTTCAGGTCTGTTTTCCACCTCTCATTCTGTCTGTGGCCTCTCCTCTCTCTTCATCACTACAGTGCTATTTATAGATGCCCCTGTTTTCTCCCTCTCTGTCAGAATATTAACTCTGGTATCTCTCACTAGCTTGTGTTTAGTCACACAAGATCTTGTTGGTTTGTGTTTTACAGCTGCTCATTTTTTTTATATGCTGCTTATATTGTATAAACCCAAATTTAAGTTTTTTTGAAAACTGTTTGTGAGAGCAGTAACATTGCCGGTCTGAAAGCTAAACAATGAGCTGAAACTCCCCACAAAGCTGTATAAAGCCAGGGGAGCTGCAGGCTCAGAAGCTAATTCTCTATAGGTTTATCACTACAAGAAACTCCTTTCACATTGAATGCATTTATATGTTCATGAGTCCGGGTTGTGATCAGGTTTGGTCTGTGTAGACGCTGCCCACCTCCAGGTGGAGTACATCTGTAGAAACTAGGATACTGTGGCATGTAAACACCTTATCCAGATATCTGACAATTCTCTGTGCAAGTATTTTCTCAGCTTGAGTTACACAGCAGCAGACAAAAATACGATAGCAAATAGTGATCAACTTGCTCAAAGTACAAAGTCTGATTTGGCAATGATTGCTCTTGTTTTTCATCACCAGTGATCAGATATAGAAGATGTATCAGATATAGAAGCCAAATTTCACACAGTAAAAATATTTTTAAAATCTGAATTAGTTGCTCTAAATAATATTAGTTAAAAGGTGATGTATGGACCCAAACACACTGGTCAATGGGAGAAAAAAGGCTGAGGGGAGAAACAAAAGGTGGGAGCTGAGCCAGCCAGCGAACACAGTATCACAGATGGCAGTTTAGCCACCTGAGGAGACCCAGCATCTCTGAGGCCGTTTAACTTGGCCTCACACTGCATGCCTCTGTTCTTCATCACACAATCCCAGCCTCCCCTGGATGGGCCACGCTGGCTGTCTAGCTGTGCATGTTTGTGTCATCCTGTCGCTCTCATGCTGGGCTGTCATCTCAGCCGCAGAATCAGGGCTATCGGATATTCACTGGTAATATTAGAGAATGGTACAAATATAAAGCCAGCCTGCTGCAAACACAGATCCACCTTCACACATAAAGCCGTGGAAGCAAACACACACAGTTCCTCTGTGATGATGTAACTGGGAAACTATTCCTCTGAAAGGTCACAAGACAAATCTGAGTAACTGCTAACAACTCATGGATGTCTGAAACCTGTGACAAGAGGATCCAACTAGTAAGTAAACCAGCAAGCTTCCCAACACAGCCTCCAGGTCACTCACAAAAATAAGTGCTGTAGAGTCTATTGCAACTCACAAGAATCTATATATTTTTTGGGCAAATAATTTATTAAACAACAATAACTAGTACTCTGAATCTCATGTACAAGAGTGCAAATATTGTTTTACAGCAGCTGGATGGACCTGACAGCAGTAGTAGAGGTACAGTAGCCTACAGGATGGAAGAATAGATATAAAAACAGAGTGTAAACCTCTACTGTACCAAAAGGTCCTTGGAAAAGAAAGTTAAACCACATTTGCTCTGGAGCAAATGGCCCCACATGTCAGTTTGTCTGTTCTAGAGAATGTGTGCAAAGTGAAAGTCTTGTAGAAACATACAGCATTGGTTCCTGGTGCCAGGTTCCTAATTTGCCATTGACCAGCCCTGTTATTGGAGGATCTTTTTTGTGATGTACTGGCAGAAGCAGAGAGGAGCGGTGGTGCAGTGATTCATCCGGGGTTGCAGGCGGTGATGTGACGGCCCTGACAACTTCTGAGACACCTGCAGCTTCACATAGGCTGCACTATAGGTCATCAGAAGCTGGTACGCTTTAGCCTGCAAAAAAAGTACATTAACACACATAGTAATGCATTTTCATCCTGAACATTCTGCAAGCAGACACCTACTACACCTACTACACCTACTACTTAACTTCATACACTCTTTGCAGCTCGGAGAGTTTAACAGTTTTACATTACAAGAAAAAAAAATCTGTCCACTTCCAACATGAAGGGTCCTCCTCCCTGACCAAAGCTCTCATGGAACGTTTGGTTTATTTGTGTGATTTATTTTATAATTCAGTAGCTAAAATTTGTTTTTATGAAGCAATGTAATGAGGTCGACTATAAATTGCCCATAGGAGTGAGTGTGAGTGTGTGTGGTTGTTTGTCTACATGTCAGTCCTTGATAGACTGGTGACCTGTCCAGGGTGGACCCTCAGTGTGAAGTCCTCTCTTACCTGAGCAGGTAAGGAAGCAACAGGGATGAGGCTATAGTTGGTGGTGACTTTAGGGTCTTTTTGTTGGCTGGATGAGGTGCTACAGCTCGTGTCTTCACTTCTCAGTAGTGGCCTTTGTTCGTCTGTATCCCTCTCCACATCTAATTCACAGACCTCGGGATCAACAACCTTGGAATCAACAGCCTCGGTCAGAAGGATGAGATGGGACATTTTCTTCTTCAGTTTGCTCTGGTGAAAATGTGACAATCATTTTAACTTCTTTCACATACCAAGAATGAAAAATATGAGGGTAAATTTCTTCTTCTTTCTTTCTGTATGGAAATAAATCTCCTTTTAACAGAACCTGGATTTATGTTTACAGTGATTTCAAAAGAGCACTAACCTGGAAGCACAAGTAAAAACAATAAAGCAGCAGGAGACCAAACAAAGCAACAGATTTACTCAACTCACTCACCTGAGAACTTTGCTCCTCTAATGTTTCAGTCAGTGCCCTCAGACAGTGGGAAATGTCCCAATACACAAAGTACAACTGCAGAGAGACCATAAGATGAATACAGCTGTATTAGTAGCTGCCAAATAAAAAGTCTTCAGATTCAGTTTAATCTGATGTTTTTTCTAGGTTCCAGACCATTCTAATCACCACCCACAAGAATATTTTTATAAGCTCTTTACTCCTACATGATTTGTGATGCACTCCAGTATAAGCCATATATAGTAGGTTAAAAATATTCCATTGGAGCAGATTAGTTTTTAACATTTCATTGCAGTACTCAGATTACTCTCTTTATTTATTTATTTATTTGATAAAGATTCCTCAACAGAATCATCCCTTTTTCTAAAATGTGTGCTTGGGTTTGCTACTAATGCTACTTTTAATGTTGTAATATAAGAGTAATTCATGGATCTCGTAGGCGAATTTTGCGCTGTTTGTTGGGGCCTATGTGAGCAATCCCACCCACTTCCATCTGTGTCTTAGTCTAGGACCTTTTGGTCAATAAAAAATAACCATCCATCCATTTATTTATATTGATTATTCTGAAGAGGGTTGTGGGGGGGCTGGAGCCAATCCCAGTCAACACTGGGCGAGAGTTGGGGTCCACCCTGGACAGGTCACAAGTCTATTACAGGGCTGAGACCAAGATCAAATGAGAATGAGATCAAATGAGATTGGTGCCTACACCAATAGACAATAATTGTAAAAATCCTCTATGGGTTCATTTTTAGAAAGTCATGTCTAAACTCAACCCACACAACTTTATTTTACATTCTAGTGCAGATTCCAGACTTTCAAAAGATACTGTATATGTCAGAATAAATATTGGATGGATTTAAATATTTTATGGCTATTTTAGACAGCTGATGTGTATTTTTATTGCCACTGTTGTGTTGTTATGCCTGCTGGTATGTTGTTTTAATTGCTATTTTGTTGTGTCATTTCGCTTGTCTTCTTCTTGTAGTACTCTGAGTCATCATCTTGTTACTTCTGCTTTATATTCTTCTTTAAGTTGCCACATTGTTTCCAATACATTACAAAGGAGAGCAATACAAAAACTAAGAATAAACATAACTGCAGGAATAACACACACTAACAGTTGTGTGTTATAGCCTGAACAGTAGGCAACAACAGTATACACAGACAAATGTATTATTTTTATTACATTTGGAGCCTCTTATTTTCAGCTGTAGCTGATTTTAAAAGAAAAACCTGCATGTTTCCTGTGCAGTTCTGCACCCAGTCGGCCACAGCCACCAGCAGCTTGTGTTTCACCATCCTCTCATTCACTTGGATTAACCGAACATCTAAATTCATGTTGATCTGACACAGAAACATACACAGAAATACATTTTAGGAGCAGTTCTCATTCACTCTTATCAGCACTGAAACATGTCACATAGAAGGTTTTAGAAATGCTGCGATGTCTGATTCAGGATGAAAACAATTCTTTGGATTAAATTGCAAAATCCAAACTTAAATCTGTGTAAGACTTTCCCTGCTTGGACCAACAGTGTCATAATTACATTATTAATATTAAATTCATTTTAATATGACATTTAGATCCTATTTACCTCCTTGTTACTGTGGTGCAGGACAAAGATGATGGCTGTGGTGAAGACGATGGAGACCAGGCTGACAAAGAGACAGAGGACCCAGTAGTTGTTGACAGTTATGTAGTGATGGAAGGTGGAGAACATGGCACACCACACCACCACATACAGCACCTGGTGGATGCAGAGGTGAGGGTGTATATATTCAACTTGCCAGTTTTTATTAGACAGGACTCAAAGATGCTACTGAGTTTTTCCTATAGGTCTATCCTGAGGAACAGAAAGACCAGCTATCTCAGCCTCTTAAAGAATAAGAACTAAATAAAAGAAACGTAGTGAGAGAAGCAAACCTGCAGAGCAATTAGAAGAAAGTGATACTGTTGGGTAAAGCATTGATAAGACTGGAGGAACAGAGATGTATGATCATACCGGTGCCATTATGAAATGGAAGAAGGCCGAGTTAAAAACCATGTATCTTCTGACTGAGGGGACGTCCAGAGCTGTCCTCAGTGGAGTCTCCATGTCAGTGTCTGGAATCTAACATGATACAAAACAATCAAATTAAAAATCTGAATTAAAGGCAGGTCAAGATAAAAAAATATCTATAATTTGCTGCGCCACAGCAGGCCATCTGTGCGTGTGTTGACCTGGAAGCCTTCATCCTCCAGTTTGGCGCGGCACAGAGACAGATCAAAACTGGGGTTTAACGTTGAACAGCTTGGCACTGCCAGAACACACTGACCTGAGAGTGAAGGAGCGACAAAGAACAGTTCTTCATTTGCTTAATACTGAAAATGGGACAAAAACAAGAACCTAAGAAAGACCCTCTTAGAAAGTGGCAAAGAAGAGGAAAGATAAATGCAAAGTTTACCAATTCAAAACAAATAATGAAGCAGCTATTACCATTTAACCAGCTGTGGCTCTTGTTGTTGGCCCGTGGCTGATCTTTGGTTTCTGCCATATCAACATCATCATCGAGCTCCTCCATCACATGACACATTATGTTTTTGTCCTCCATTAATTCAGAGACCTCTAGATTATACAGGAGACAAATTCATACTATTACAGCCCCTGAGAATAATGCAATGTAAAAAATAAATAAGTAAAGATTAAAAGTAAACAGCCAATACTTGATTAAGAAGGGACTATTTGGAAGCGGATGTAAAAAGGGCATTTTATGACTTTTTGGCCAGGAATTAAAGAAAAAAACAGAAATTTGCAAACACCAGTAACACTTTCAAGTTAGAACAAAAGAAGACATATGACAGGAGTCATTCATGACTTTCAATTACATTAGAAACAACAGCGTCACAAAAGAAGAATTCCTGTGACTAATGCAAACACCTGACAAAGCTGTTGTGTAAGAATGTGGCATAACCCAGGAGCACTTCCCATGGATCTATTTACAGAGGTAATGATGTAAACCGAGTACCTACATTCATTTATCTGATGGTGTTTCCTGATTCCAGGTGTAAGCTGTAAATCAATAAAACAATAAAATCCCTGGAAAACTGACTGGGGGTTATGGGTGGGCAGGAAACTGTGACAGCATCAAGGGCCATAAATCTTGACTTGACAACTCAGTTTGACAGGTAGTGTCCTTTATGACTGACTATTAACCAATAATTGTTTATTGGTTAAATCAAAAAAAATATTTTCACTAACTGTGGTCCACAGCCTTCTAATTCCTTTATGTATGCTCCTAGGTTTTTACTTAGTTGGATCCTGAGACTCCAAGGCCCAAAAGAGTGCACCATTCCCATAAAACCTTCTACACAGGTGTCTGTACACTGAATTTACAGTTTTTCAGTATTTGTATAATCAGGATAGAGGACAGTATCTGCTAGTGCTTCCCAGAGCATTTGTTTTAGCTTCCTGACTATGTGCCCTTCTTCAGAGAGGTTTATAGGGCTGTTTCTAAAAATCCTGTTGACTATATAGATCACAATAGAATCTAGGTGTAATAGAAGAGTAATAGGAGAAAATGTATTTCTATATCTAAAGTCTTTCAAGGCTTCAAAAATTTAATTATGCTCAACTGAATCAAAAGCTTTGTAAAAGTTCAAGAATAGTGGTGGCAGTGGTGCTCCAGCTCATCTGACAGGGCTGTGGGGAACTATCCTAACACATAGGTTGGACATGTAACACTTGAAGAAAGTTGCCAGACTAGCGTTATCTCTTTGTGGAAAGCCCTTCAGATAGGCCACAGCTGTTATTTTTGATAGACACAGTGGAACTGAAGACTCTAAAAACCTACAGGAAACCAGTCCACTTCCTCTTTCAGGGCTGGTGGCCTTTTGTATATTAACAAGGTGATGGTTTTAACATTAAGAGGCTGTTGCACCCCTACTGCAGATTGAAGGAGTAAGTGAATATACATTTTTATGAGCCCTTAGAGTAGTCAATATCTGTACTGCTTTTATAGCAAAATGCCCAGAATGTAATGTCATGATGACACTGCCTGTTAATAGAAGATAAGAAGTATCGCTCACGGACCCCTGACCCCTCTTAGCACAGGCCAGCTTGTCAACAGCCAAACATCTGTGAAAGAGAGAATGAACTGGGAAACAAAGGAAATGCTGTTTATAGACAAACCCAGCTGTTGGTGTATATGTAGGTGTCTCTCTTGCCTATGGCGGAGCCACATTTTAGCTCTGAAGTGTGAAAACTTAACGTTTCAGTTGTGATATCAGTTTGTTCCTTTGTCTAACTTTTGTCTCAACTTCCTCTTTATACATAAGCCCCTGAAGGTTTTTATTATTAAGGGAAAACAAAATCCAAAACTATATAGCCCTGTGTGAACAAGTGTTTGCCCCCCTGTCAAAACACTGGTTTATCGCACCTGAGTTCAATTTCTCTAGCCACACCCAGGCCTGATTACTGCCACACCTGTTCGCAATCAAGAAATCACTTAAATAGGACCTGCCTGACAAAGTGAAGTAGACCAAAAGATCCTCAAAAGCTAGACATCATGCCGAGATCCAAAGAAATTCAAAACCAAATGAGAAAGAGAATAATTGAGCTCTATCAGTTTGGAAAAGGTTATAAAGCCATTTCTAAAGCTTTGGGACTGCAGCGAACCACAGTGAGAGCCATTATCCACAAATGGCGAAAACATGGAACAGTGGAGAACCTTCCCAGGAGTGGCCGGCCGACCAAAATTACCCCAAGAGCGCAGCGACAACTCATCCAAGAGGTCACAAAAGACCCCACAACAACATCCAAAGAACTGCAGGCCTCACTTGCCTCAGTTAAGGTGAGTGTTCATGACTCCACCATAAGAAAGAGACTGGGCAAAAATGGTTTGCATGGCAGAGTTCCAAGACGAAAACCACTGCTGAGCAAAAAGAACATAAAGGCTCGTCTCAGTTTTGCCAGAAAACATCTTGATGATCCCCAAGACTTTTGGGATAATAGTCTGTGGACAGAAGAGACACAAGTTGAACTTTTTGGAAGGTGTGTGTCCCATTATGTGTGGCGTATATGTAACACCGCATTTCAGAAAAAGAACATCATACCAACAGTAAAATATGGTGGTGGTAGTGTGATGGTCTGGGGCTGTTTTGCTGCTTCAGGCCCTGGAAGACTTGCTGTGATAAGTGGAACCATGAATTCTGCTGTGTACCAAAATATCCTGAAGGAGAATGTCCGGCCATCCGTTTGTGATCTCAAGCTGAAGCGAACTTGGGTTCTGCAGCAGGACAATGATCCAAAGCACACCAGCAAGTCCACTTCTGAATGGCTGAAGAAAAACAAAATGAAGACTTTGGAGTGGCCTAGTCAAAGTCCTGACCTGAATCCAATTGAGATGCTGTGGCATGACCTTAAAAAGGCAGTTCATGCCCGAAAACCTTCCAATGTGGCTGACTTACAACAATTCTGCCAAGATGAGTGGGCCAAAATTCCTCCACAGCGCTGTGGCAGACTCATGGCAAGTTATCGAAAACGCTTGATTGCAGTTGTTGCTGCTAAGGGTGGCCCAACCAGTTATTAGGTTTAGGGGGCAAACACTTATTCACACAGGGCTTTGTAGTTTTGGATTTTGTTTTCCCTTAATAATAAAAACCTTCATTTAAAAACTGCATGATGTGTTTACTTGTGTTATCTTTGACTAATATTTAAATTTGTTTGATGATCTGAAACATTACAGTGTGACAAACATGCAAAAAATAAGAAATCAGTAAGGGGGCAAACACTTTTTCACACCACTGTAAGCCCCCCTCTTTGCTTTTACTTTAGTCTTCTTGCCTGTAAATAAAGTCACACAACAACAATTTATTGCTGCCTCTTTCCTTTGCACCTGCTCAAGAGCGGAAAAGAACAAAAGCGTGCAACCAGAACACTGTCTTTGCACAAGCAACATCTTCAGTGTTTCACTGCCAGATATAGGAACCAGTGCAGCTGTGTTGAGTGTCAGCAATAACTCAGCTCACTATCTTATCTCTCATCTGTTTCATTAAAATTGCATCTTGCCTGAGGTTATGTCCGGTGTTGCACACTGCTGCTTATCAAATTTAGCTTGAATGTTAGTTTGACTGGAGATTATTCTGTATAAACATTTGTTTCAGGAGCAAATCTTAAAGAAAACTCAACAATATTTCAGAAACCCAAGACTGTATGTTCAGCATGACTGCCAGCCATAAATACATCTTCAAAAATGTTTGAAAAAGTCTTTAGCATTTAAAATCCTCATTAGGGCTGCAACTATTTATTACTATCTTTTATTTTCAGTTACTCTGACAGTTCTTTTCTTGATTAATCGACTAATTGTTTGGCTAATATAAAAACAAATATACTGAGTTTACTATCACAGAACACTTAAAAAAACAGGAAGTATTCACATTGAACAGCTGAATTTTGACATTTTCTTATTGAAAGAGTTGCAGCTCTAGTTCTCATTGGGACTAAATATATGGGAAAGGAGAAACCCTGACATTTCTTTGTGTACAAAAGTTCATTCGCATGACATGAACTGTTTCTTTCCAGTGAGTCACAGCCAGTGAAGCCTCGAAAGCAAAACAAGCATAAGTGAGCTAAAACGTTTACACAACTAAACAAATCCAACCTGAAAGCTGTGATGAATGTATTCCTTTCTCGGTCCTCCTGTAATCTTCAGAGGATACGTCCACACGTCCAGTAACTACATCAAAGCAAAGGCTCAGAGTTTACAAGTGTGGTTTATGTTATTTTCTCATTCAAATGAGTTTATTTCCTGCGATGGGCTGGCGACCTGTCCAGGGTGTACCCCGCCTTTCCCCCGTAGCTGGCTGGGATTGGCTCCAGCCCCCCGTGACCCCGTTTGGGACTGAGCGGTTTAGAAAATGGATGGATGAGTTTATTTCCTATTTCTCTCTATCTGTCTCTGTGTTTCTCTCTCTCTTGTAGCGTGACTCAGATCAGACCTGCCTTATGACGGCAGGAATGTAGTGCGTGTTCTCAGCTCAACACACACACACACACACACACAAACACACACACAGCAACAACAGTGACAGTTCAAGAATGTTTTACATGCAGAGACTAATTAAAGAAGCATATTAGTGTAATACTGATACATTGACGTGGGATGTCATGTGATTTTGTGGTAAAGAAAAAAAGTGTCTTATAGGTAGACTACTGTATACAGGAAATGTATATATTGTTATTTTATTGGTATTTACACCTTCTTGTTTGTTTTCATTGGCATCATGTAGCAAGTTTACTGGAACTGTTACACTCAAAGTCCAAAGATAGCTGTGAATCAGTAGGGTTAAAACAAGGTATACAACTTCTTGAAAAGTAATACAAGTTCAACACAGACAATAATGAGTATTAAGAATAACGATTTGCTGTAATCTTGACACTTATTAGTAAGGTGTGTGGATGCCAGCATAGCAGATGCTGGTATGTCATCATGTTGAAAGGTTACTTCACTCTGAACTTTATGTAAGGTAAAAGGGTCACTTCACTCTGAACTTAGTGTATGTCAAAAGGTCATTTCACTCTGAATTTAATGCATGTTAAGAGGTCACTTCATTCTAAAATTGATTGTTTTTTTTTCCTTACGCCTACAATGTGAAGCTCGTAATTGTAATGGTCTCAGAACCTGCAACCAATTTGTGCACCGTTTATCAGTCAGCTTTAATAGATTTAGTGCAAGGTTATCAGTTCAACTTGCATAGTTTGAGCATCTCACGCAGAATTTAAGTCCGGCACCCATCAATGTGTCTTGTGTGAAGAAGAACAGGGAGTGTGGCCACAG